TCGATATCCCAAAATCAACCCTAATGACCGGCGCGCTGGAAAGCGCGCGCGACGCGATTGCCAGCCTAACTCAAGGAAGCTTACCCAGAGAGAAGAGGAGGTGATTGTTAGCTATATACTTCATCTAGATCAGCGCGGGTTTGCGCCTACCTACGCAGCTGCACGCGATATGGCTGATAAGCTGCTGGCTGCGCGCGGCGCTGGCCAGGTTGGGCAGAAGTGGCCAGCCAACTTTGTCAAGCGGACAGATAGTCTTCGGACGTGTTTCAACCGAGCGTACGATAGGCAGAGAGCTCTCTGTGAGAATCCAGCCCTTATTAGAAGCTGGTTTGAGCTTATAGAGAAGACAAAGGCTGAGCTTGGTATCTGCGATGAGGATATATACAACTTTGATGAAGCTGGCTTTATGATGGGCAAGATTACAACGCAGCTAGTTATAACAGGAGCAGAGAGGAGAGGCAGGCCGAAGACTCTTCAGCCAGGCAATCGCGAGTGGGTAACGCTGATCGCTGCTATCAGCGCTGCTGGCTGGTCAGTCCCACCGTTCCTCATCTTCGCTGGCCAGTACCACCTATTAGCCTGGTACGAGGAAGCTGAGATCCCACGCGACTGGGCAATCGCAGTCAGCGACAATGGCTGGACAAATAATGAGCTTGGAGTTGAGTGGCTAAAGCACTTCAACGCTCACACGCAGGCTCGTACTATAGGCGCGCGTCGCCTGCTTATTATTGATGGCCATAAGAGCCACCAATCTCTAGCGTTCTAGGAGCTCTGCAAGGAGAACAATATCTATACGCTCTGTATGCCTCCTCACTCATCTCACCTACTCCAGCCACTTGATGTTGGCTGCTTCTCGCCATTGAAGCGCGCGTACAGCCGTGAGGTGGAGAGCCTCATGCGCAACCACATCAACCACATCACCAAGCTAGAGTTTCTGCCAGCATTCAAGATAGCATTTGATCAAGCGTTCACGCCAGCCAACATCTGCTCAGCCTTCCGCGGCGCAGGCCTTGTTCCTCTACAACCAGAGGCTGTTCTATCAAAGCTAGATGTACAGCTGCGTACACCTACTCCTCCAGCAGCAGCTCTGCCAGAGGCTCCCTGGGTAGCTCAAACGCCGAGCAACGCGCGTGAGCTTGAAGCTCAGTCAAGCCTAATACGTGAGCGCGTGCGCCAGCACAAGAGCTCATCACCAGCATCAATTATTGAGGCAATTGACCAGCTGAAGAAGGGCGCTGAGGTGATAATGCTCTCTGCTGAGCTAATGCGCGATCGGATCTCCAGTCTTGAGAAGGCTAACAGCGCAGCCTCAGCGCGTAGGCGGCGCTCTAAAAGGCGTATACAGAAGCACGGAGTACTTATAAAAGGAACTGGAGAGGATATACTAGCTCAAAATGAGGCTGACCAGCAGATTGCTCATGAAGAGCGTCGAGGAGGAGCGCGATCAGGCCTCAGCCAGCGCGCTCAAAGGCGCTGCACTAGATGCAAAGAGACCGGGCACAACTCGCGCACATGCAACACTAATACTATTAATATAGAGTAGTCTACTATATCAATATCTAGCAATAATATTATCGTGTTGTTGAGATATATCGCTTTAAAGTTGCAAAAGTTGGTGGGGTGACCGACTCGCTTGTCTGACCGACTCGCTTGCCAACCACGTTACTTGAAATATGGAAAAGACTTTGGAATGAGGGTTGTTTCCTATAGTTTTCCAAGTCTCTGGTTCCGTTAAAAAACACTTGCTATCCAAGGGTGACTATGGCTCTTCCTAGTTTCCCGAAATCTTACATTCTGTGCTATTTGAGAAACTTGAAACGACAGTTGGACAGCTGCATGACGCGGCTTTTTGTGGTTTTTCCAACACCTATTTTCTATAAGACCGGGGATAAAATCTTGTACACATCAGAGCCATGGCTGCGGTTTCTGGTTTCCCAAACATTCCATCTTCTATACTACTGAAAATACTTAAAAAAGCTACAACCGACGTGTTTTATGACTGTGGTGCTCTGGTGGTGTGCGCCTACTAAAAAAATCACCGACGTGTACTATATGACTTTTCCCGCTTCTGCTCGGGGGAGTATAGAATATACATACGCGGTTCTGATGGCGTTGAGTCCTCTCTTCTGGACACATTGGAGCTCATCTAATCATCAAAATGTTTTGGAACGTTTTAAAAAGGTTATCTTCCTTGAGTATGTTGGAAGTACTGAGTCAGTGTGGTGTATATAAAGCTTCTTCTGCTATTCTTCCTCCCTTCCTTCTTTCCTCACACACACAAAGTTCTACTTTCTTACTTTCTCAAAAAGCTGCCGAAAAACTATGGATGTAGCTGCCTTCCTTAAAATTACTCATAGACATCCTGATGTTCCTGCCCTTTCCTAAAAGCTTATGGAAAAGATGCAGAAGTGTCTGCCTTTCTCGGAATTATCATCGACTTCCTGGATGTTCCTACCTTTCTCCAAAGTACCTTTCCAAGTCTATATATCCTAGTCTTCCTTAAACGCTTTGTGGAGATATTAATGTCCCTGTCTTCTTCTAAAAAACTATACGCAAAATCTCCTTAATACCCCTGACTTTCTCATAGTCTACCTATACCTTTACATGTCTCTATCTTTCGAAAAGCCCTCTACAACCCTCATCTCTCTCCCTCTCCCTCTCTCTCCTTCTTAAAATCCTGACATATCTGTCTATGTCTGCGTCCTCTCCCTCCCTCTAAAAAACGGCTTGCTCCTCCTTCATGTTCTGGGCCTTTCCCCCTCTCCCCTCTATATCTTCAAACTTCTAAAAATTCAACGTGCGTTCCCCGACTAAAAAACTATGGACGTTCTCTGAACATATAAAATTCTTAAAATCACTGCCGTTCCCTCTCTATCTCTATGGGTTCAAATGGCCCTTATTCTGCCGGATGAGACTTTGTGGGGGTAAAATAGTCACAAACAATGCTCATGTTGTGTGCAAAGCAGCAGAATTATTTGAAAAAAAAGGTTACCAGAAGCTATGATGGAGAGTGGTCGAGCCTGTACAAAACATACACGTGATGATTGAAACGAGGTCCTACCGGGGGTATATAAAGTCTGTCTGCTCTTTCTACTTTTCTTCTTTCTCTGTATATAAAAAGTGTGGTTTCTCTAAAATCTCGCTGAAAGTAGCGTGTCTGTGACCTACTCAAAAGAACGGCAGCCAAGTTCGATGTTTGCGGTGTGGAGTCCCTGCACATATTTTTTGAAAATCATTGCTGTGTCCACAGAGTGAGATGTGGAGCATACATACAATAAGTTTTGAGGAGTATACCAAAAGATAGGCCCATGCATCCATCAAAAACAGTTAGCATGATCACAGCACAGCAGCAGTAGATGGATGATTCAAGAACATTCAAACAAGCATCATAGTCTTCATTCGTATATACATAAATCCTAACCTATACCCACTCCTTTGGCTTCTTCAAGACTTCCAATAACCGCTCTTCTCTGCTGCCCTTTTCCGGTGCGTGCATGTATTGCCACCTCGCGGTAAGGGGCAAGCTCATCAAAATACTCTCCACACGAGCACCTGGCGTGTTCAAACCAAACGCCGTTCCGCGGTCGTGCACGAGATTGAATTCGACGTAGCGTCCTCGTCGGATCTGCTGCCACTGCTTCATCTCATCCGTGTATGGCATATCCTTGCGCCTGTTGATGATAGGTAGGTATGAAGGGAGGAAGGCGGATAGGCAGTCTTGTACGAAAGAGAAGAGCTGTTCCTGGTCCTTCTCCGTTTCGTCCAAGTCGTCGAAGAAGATGCCGCCTACACCTCGTGTCTCGCCTCGGTGCTTGTTGCTGAAATATTCGTCGCACCACTTCTTGAAGCGTGGGTAGTATGCCTTGTCATGCTTGTCGCAAGCCTGCTTTATGGCGCCGTGGAAGAGTATCGCATCCTCGTCGTAGAGGTAGGAGGGTGTGAGATCGCAACCGCCGCCAAACCACCACGCATTTGTGTTTCCAAACTCGTCGGCTGTCTCGAAGTAGCGATAGTTTAGATGTACAGTCGGGGCGTTGGGGTTGTGAGGGTGGAGGACCATGGACAGGCCTGCGGCGAAGAACTCGAGGGAATCGACGTCTAGGTCTAGGGCTTTGTGATTCACACGCATCTTTTGTATAGCAGCGCGAGGCAGGCGACCGTATACGACTGAGGTGTTGACGCCGGCCTTTTCGAATACCTTGCCATCCTGTAGAATACAAGTGATGCCGCCCCCACCCTGTGGCCGTTGCCATGTGTCGATCTTGAATTTTGTGCCGTCCACCTTTTCTAGCTCGGCCACAATCTCCTTTTGATTCTGCTTTATGAACTGTTCCATGCGTAGTCGCATTGGCGATTGCTCAGACACACCATTCTCCCGCTTGAGCAGCGCATCTTTCTCGGCGATTGAGGGTCCTTCGGTCTTGATAGAGTCATCCGTCCACTGTAGGAGAATTAGAGTAATCTCTTAGAGGCATCTGGATGCGCCTACCATGGAGTATATCAGGGCACCGATAAAAGGCAGAAACATCAGCCGTATCCGGTTCGGCCATTTGCTCGGCGGGGGATTGCGCCATTCCTCCAGAGGATCTGGCGTTTCCTGCTTCTTAGCTGTAGGCAATTCTAACCTGCGGCTTTGTGAAGAGTGTAATTGCCGGCTGCGGATGTGACTTGGGCGCAAGGTCCGTTGCGGCGCATAGCTGTGGGGAAGCTCGAGAGCTCTGGAGATGCGGGAAGTTGGGCGAAAAGGACGCATGATGGGCAATTGCTCGTCACAAGGGACGAGATGCTGTGAAATAAACAAGAAGAAAAGCGGTGGTGTCTATATAATAATTCGGCGAGAGGAGCTAGAAAGTCAGACGGAGTTTGTCGGCCATCACACCATCGTGGCCGCATCATGGGCGGAGCTCCTCGGGAGCTTTAGCGGGCCTCAGTGTACCTGCATATGCAAACACGGCAAGTTAGTTAACCCTTAGCAAAGCAGTACATGAACGCTTCAGGTCAGGTGAGTGTCACAAGCATCATCATCCTTTGTCGTGAGCATATGTCGACTTGGATGCGTCTTGCAGTGCACGTTGACGTTGATGATACGTGCTTGATGGATATGTTCTAATACAGCTCCAAATCCCATGGAACGTGGACCATGTAGAAGCTTCGTATTCGGCGGGAAGAAACGGCCACGTCGTCTTGCAGGCAAAGCACTGCTATATGCGTAACGGTGCGAAAGCAACATCGAACGCATTCCGTCGTAGGCGGCCGGCATATCACTGCGAACATGCATGCATGCATCCCGAGGCACGGAAGCCTGTGCTCAAGGCAAGGCGGACCACGATATGTTAGTAATGCGCATAGGCAGCGGCATCGCGTCCTGGATGAGTCAACAGACGTCGAGGTCATGGGAACGGCAGTCGTGACCCATGGACTTGCGCCAACAGAGGCGGTCAGCACAACCATACAAAGGCGTCACTTTGAGCCCTTCACACACAAAGAGGGCGGTGCTAGATGGAGCATGACGAAATGGCATTGACTGCTACAGTGTCTCAAGGGCCCAGTGCGCCTGCCTGGCGCGTGAACTGGTAGTCTGTTTGGGTGAATTGCGTGGGTGGGTGAAGCGTTGGTTCCAGTTATGTAAGGCAGTACCGGTAGTGATTCGCCCCGCTCTGTTGCCTTAAACTCACCGCCGTCACCTCAGCATCCTACAACAACCGCTCTCACCCACTTTCAACTACACCACACACGCGCTTTACACCACACTCATATAACAACAACACCCTTATCAGCCTGTACACTCACCGTCAAGATGCGTTCCAAGTTCAAGGACGAGCACCCATTCGAGAAGCGCAAGGCCGAGGCGGAGCGCATTCGCCAAAAGTACAACGACCGCATTCCTGTACGTTCGCCCCCCAGCTCCAAGAGCTCCGTGCACGGCATCTAACAGCGCGCAGGTTATTTGCGAGAAGGTCGAGAAGTCGGACATTGCGACCATCGACAAGAAGAAGTACCTGGTCCCAGCCGACCTCACCGTCGGCCAGTTTGTCTACGTGATCCGCAAACGGATCAAGCTGTCGCCTGAGAAGGCCATCTTCATCTTCGTCGACGAGGTGTTGCCACCCACTGCCGCTCTCATGAGCTCGATATATGAGGAGCACAAGGACGAGGATGGCTTCCTGTACATTACGTACGTTACTTCCCCATGGCACTCCAAGACAGCTGCTGACATGACTACAGGTACTCGGGCGAGAACACATTTGGCGAGGCGCTCTAAGCTGCTCGCTCCATCCCGCTTTCCCTTATCTATCGGTTATCAAGGCCGCGGCGAACTCACGGGCGTTATCGGATTACGGATCTCCTTATTCTTCATTGCAACACTATCTCGGGCTAGGGTGACGGATAGTATTCACACGGATGGGCTGGTACGAGGGTCAACTCCCTGCACTCATACAGACAAGCACTACGAGTCGGGGAGGATCAAGCACAAGACTTTAGGAAGGCAAGCGCGATGCGCACCTGTCTGCATAGCACAAACCGAGGACAACGCGCGTGATTGGTCAGATAGGCACTTTGCACATGCGATACCTGCAGTTTGATTATTCCATTTCAACCCGAATGCAATACATCTAATCTGAGAAGACGCTCATCACATGCTTGCGACTGTGACGTGCTCGCTGTACCTCGTGAAGCCCAACCTGTACCTGACGAGGCAGCGTGACTTGCGGCTCACATCGGCCTCTGAAACTCATGACATCACTAGCCGATCTCGCATCTCCGCCCGTATCCAGAGCGCACACGTGCGATGTATTCAGACTGACTTGAATCACGCCTCAGACAAGGCTAGAAGCATTCTAGACATCACACCAGCTTCCTGTCTTAAACGCGCCTGCCTACGCCGTCCCCACGGCGGCCGGGGACGCGGTGGGGAAGCTCCAGCCGGGTTAGCAAGCACAGGCCACCAAGCATGCAGGTGCAGTGGATCGTCAACGGACGCCATCGTGAATAAGTTTATCGAGACTGCAGTGGCGTATTCACAGAGCCTCAAATCAACCGGTACTGGCATCTAGCCTCTTGAACTTCTGCAAAGATCACGTCCAAGAAACGCGTCATTGCATCACCTCTCAGCGACGACAAACTCGCACCTTGAGACTTTGCAAGACCCAGCCGCACAACCACAGCCATGGTCGTTCAGTACATAATATCAAAGTAAGAATTGCCCAAATATAGTGCTTCATATCATCATCTGAATGTTAAGACTCGCAATAGACGCCTAGACCCCCTTTTCGCAATCTCCATCGGTCTCGCCGCAGCCCTCACACGGATAAACCGCGAGGAAAAAGAAAAAGGAAGGAGCACACAAGAAACTCTGCATTTAGTCAAGAGGAGGTGGAACCTAGCATGGCAGGGAAATGAAGAGCAGGGGAAAGGCGAAGGCAAGAATTTGTGAGAGTGTTGGGTGGGATATGAGAGACGAGGTGGATGGATGATTGAATGAATGATACCCTTGATATGAAAAGTACATTAACTATCCTACAAGAACTGGGGATATCGGGAAGTTATACAAAGACAGAATGTACAAGTGTCTACCTCCAAGGGCCTCCCATACTCTGTTGGTATCCTCCACTTGTCATCGGGTTTGGCACGTACTCCCGTCCTTGTCCTTGTCCCATACTCATGCTCTGGACTGGGGCAGGAGCATATTGGCCCTGCTGTGGCATCTGATCTGACACCATTGGCACCTGTCCCGTATATTGCGCGCCCTGCTGTGGTATCTGCTGCGGCATCGGAGGTGGCATCTGGTGTTGCATGTTCTGAGGAGGCATTTGGGGTGGCATGTTCTGCGGCATCGGAGGTGGCATCTGGTGTTGTATGTTCTGAGGAGGTCCTGGCAAAGACGGCGCAGATGCAGGCGCACCCATCGTCTGCTGCGTACCCATACCAAACCCATAAGTACGATTAGTTTCCGGCATCAGCGCAGGAGTCGTAGCAACCGTAGTCTTTGCATCCTCAGGAAGCTCCAAAGCACATCCCCATGTCCCTTCCTTGAGTTTCTGCTTCACAAACTTGACTTTCTTAGCCACATCGCTCGGCATCTTGCCCTCGCTGCCGTCGATAGCCCACTCGCACGCCTTGACCACTGCTTTCCACATGCTCTTTTCCGCATCTCCCAAAACCGGGTTGCCTTTTTCCTGACGCACACGCTCGAGGACTGCCATCATGAGACCCTGGACGCGATTGGTAACCTTCTCCAGATCCTGACCGTGCTTTGGAACCAAAATATGAAAAGTTGCCGGACACGATGGCCGAATCTGGGCTTTAGCAAAGCCAATGCTTACAGGAGCAGCCGTATACCACTCCTGTGCCCCCGCCGACGCTGGTCCAACAGCCAATCTGGCAAAAGCTGGGATACCCACCCTCGACGACAGAAGGGCAAATGGACTATCTGCCAATTGAACCGTATGATGAATCGCCTCGTCTTCGCCCGCCGCCCTACACCTGCCCTTTTCATAATTCGTCTTATCCACACACCTGCTCGCCCACTGCTTCGCAGTACCCGCATCAAGATGCTTCTTCACCATCTTGACTGCCTGCTCCCCGTACACGTTCTCACTCGCAGCCCTGAGCCTAAAAGCAAAGGTAACAAGCTCATCCTGCGCCTTATGCAGATGTGGTCGCAGCAGCTCCCTAGGCAGGAATGTATTGATGTAGTAAGCGAAGAAGAACATATAAGTACCCAGGTACTCAAGTGTAATTTCCTGCGACCCGGTGTCCAGGAAAACCACTGGAATACCCAGTTTCTTCGCATATTGCTCCAGGCGCTCGACATGCGGTAGCGTGTTCGCACGTCCAGGCACAGACGGCTTGATCGAAGCGGTAAGATCCAGTGCATCCGTTACTGTGATGGCCGATAGCGAGTTTCGTAATGAGGATGTTGTGTTGTTGATCCATTGGAGTAGGAACCATATCACTGGACCTTGGTGCCAGACAATCTTCGCCTTCTCTTTTCTCTCACCAAACTTGCCCATCTTCAAAACCCGCTCCACAGCTGTATTCACCCTCTTCACGCACCGCTCCATCGCTTCAGCTTGTCCCTCGCAAATACTACTATCCCATCCCCTCACCACAACCACTTTTCCATACACCGCCACTGTGCCTTCCAAATGCTTCTTCCCGGACACACACGTCAGATAGCCGACTAACTCGCAGATACGCTGGAAGTTGTGCACGCCGCCACCAATGCTTTTCTCGTCGGCGAGGATTATCATGCCGCCTGCGGTGTTGGCGTTGGCAGTGCCATCCTTTTGTGAACGCACGCCTAAGTCGCAGAGGCTGGCGATGGTGGAAGTTAACTGCAGGAGCGCATCGAGGTCAGAAGAAGACTCCCAGATGTGCAACGAGGTGGGGGCGTTTATGGCGGACAGGGTGGCCTGCGAGGTTGCTGTGAAGGCGGACTTGTATTTGGAGGGGATGGATTGGATAGATTTGTTTAGGGTGGTGAGGTCGGTGGACCAAGGGCCGGTAAAGGATGTCATTTTGTCGTGGTTGTCGTGGTCGTGCTTGTTCTTGGGGGAACGGTGGGTATGTGATCGTGATCGTGAGCGGTGGTGGTGACGGTGGCTGTGAAGATGAGGAGAGGTAGATGGGCTATCACGTGGTTGCATGGGACGCGAGTGGGTGCGCACTTGTTCTGGGGAGTGCCGGGACAGTATACGATTGAGGAAGTTCATTAAAGGAACATAGGTGGGTAACCAGTCTACTTATCCATGGACGGGGAAAAGGCGGCGGCGAGTGATGGTTTGCCCACTGTGAATAGAACAGGTGTAGTTGTCGCAGATGTGAAGTACCTGAAGTTGATATGACGGAGAGAGCGTTTGCAAGTTAAACACGTGAGTATGAGGTGGACACGTCGCGGAGAAAGCGGAACACACTGACGACAGATGTACGTGACGAAAATCAGACAGCGGTGTATGACATGGCTGGAGAAAAGAAGCATCGTATTTGGCAGGGTGTGAAGAGAAGAGTATGATATGAAATAAACCATGGCATGTAGCCATCAAACCACCGGATGGTGCCTACTATTTCCCAAATTCCAAAGCAGCGAATAACCCCAGTGTATACTGACCTCACAGCAACGCCAATCTAAACCCAATAGGACCCTAAAAATCCTACTTCCCCACGCCACCGCCATGCTCAAGGATAGTCTCTTTGTCAAGCTTCTCCACCTTCCTGCTTAGCAAGGCACGTAACTCGGGGCTTATGACCCTAGACTCGACATCTTCACCATCACCGGCTTGTTTGCCCTTGTCAGTACCCGAAGCAGTCGCTTGGTCATTCTGTTGAGGCGAGCCTGCTGTAGTGCTGGGGCCTGGCCCACCGACCACAGCAGCTGCCAGCTTCCGTTGTCTCGCCTGTGGCGCTGATGGAAAATTGCCTTTCTTGTCAATAGTTTCAACCGTTCGCTGGAACCTCTTGAAGAGAGACTCGGCGCGAACGAGTGTTGACTCTAGATCCATCGTTCCAGACAGTTCATTCACTGCATGATGTTAGCGTTTTCCCAAAACAAACAAGGCTGTCTTCAATAACTACAATACTCACCATATTTGAGCACCTCATCAAAATGCTTCAGATGTGCCATGATAATATCACGATGCTTCTCTAGAATGGCCAAGGCAATGAAGATGTGGAAGTTGCTACTTTGGTAGTCGGTCCAAAGTGCCTCCCACAGCCGCAGCACATCTGGCCATTCAAACTCGCGCTTGTACCAAACAAGCAACATGCGGAAGAAGAAGAAAAAGTTGGTCGACTCGGCTGACTGAAGATGGAGGTAGAGCTTGGGGTCCATGAGCTGTACGAGGTGGTCGAGTGTCATAAGCTGCTTGCGCATGCCAGACTGATCGCGTAGGAAGTTCCGCTCCTACACATGCGTTAGCCACAACTCTCTGTCTACATAGTGAATACATACCATGCGTTCCATGAAACCAACAAAGCCCCAAAAGGCAACCGCGTCGTCCTGCATGACTGCGTAGATGGGCGCAAGCAAATCGCTCATGCCCTGTACGTAGCCAAGGCCCTTGTTGTACTCATTGTACGTCAGTAGCATATCCTTCATCTGCTCCAAATGTACATTGGTACCGACATCCGCGAACGGGGAGTCGGGATCAGGGTGTGGAATATCCTCTCCAGCGAAGATTGGGATATTCCGATCTGTGCGATGTACATCTTTTTCTACACAGCGAACCCCATAGAATGGGACCAGTCAGTCATCTCCCCAAAAGGATTCAAACACGGGTACATACCTATCCTGTTCTTCTGCTCTCTCCACCACTCCTCTTGTTCCTCGTTCTGATGACCCTCAATCATCCTCTCCCACCATGCGCCCTTCAGTCGGATGTATTCGTCGCGGCGACTATTAATGTTTGCGCGTCGCTCTTCCTCTGAACTTTGCCAGTCGTAGACTCCTAGGAGAAATAGCCATGCCTCCTTTCGTACGCCATCATCGGGATCCAGACCACCGTGGAAGATACGGTCCTTGACTTCGTCTGGTGTCAACTGCAGCCGGCCCTTTGGATCGAAGAAGCCATTCCACTCTTCCAATGTGACCGGTTTCCGTCGGTCGGCCATGGTCATCTTGTCCATGTCCAGGATCTCAAAGTCGCCAACGTCGCTTTCTTCCATAGCCAGAACGTCTTTTGCCGTCCATATCCGTTGGTTGCGCTCTCGCTCGCTTTGCTCAGCAATGCCCATGGCCCATCTTGCCAGATAAATTCGCGCACTGTCAAACTCCTCTTGCAAGGTCTGAACTTCTGGATTCTGAATCAGGCGTCTAACTTGAGGCGGGATCTTGGGGTTTTCTACAACAGCCTGCGCAGTTCTCCGAGTGAAAGTAGTGACCTGGCTGAGCTTCTCGAGGAAGTTCCACCTCGCCTCCTTGAGTGCCTTTGTGACTGGGTCCATACCGCCATCCCTTTTGCCCGAGGAGGATCCCTCTGCATTGCCGTCGGTATTCTTCGTTGGTGTCATCGCCTTTCCGAACGACCGCTTGTCGTCTTCGGAGGGGTCAATTAGATATATGCTTGGATCGGCTCCAGATCGCTCCACTGTGACGTATCGCTTCAGCCATCTCAGCACCTCGTCGCCGCCCCAGAACATGCCGCCCCCGTCACCGAAGGGATCGAAGCTCTCCTTTGCTAGCTTCTTCCTCTGCATGATGGTAGATTGACATTCGCTGTCGTGGAAGAACAGGGCGGGAAAGCTGTCGCCAGATCTCGTGTTGATAACTACACTGCCAAACCACCAGCCAATACTTGGTGGTCGTATGAGGACAGAGTATACCTCACTGACGGGTAACGCGAACGCATACCCAGGGGTTCCGGCATGCGTAGACGGTGTAGGAGGTGGCGGTACGAGGTACGACTGTTTGGGTGGTGAGGACGAATCTGAAAGGTCAACTTTCACATAGGTATCGTATGCATCGCCGAGGTTTGACTCTGGTATCCATGCAAGGAGCAGCGACGACGCGTTGACGCTTCGTGCAGACGAGGATGAAGTAGGGCGCGCATCGTTCGTGGAGCGAGACGACTTTTGCTGGACGAGTGCTACGAAGCCTGGGATGTTGTCTTTGGAGGAGGGCGTAGGATGGACGTATACCTTCACATGTTAGACTGGGACCTGGAACTTGATGGCTATGCATACTTTGCTTTTAGTGTACAACAGCTTCACGCCCTTTCCGCTACTACTATGCCGGATGGTGTTGTACTCTCCCTCTTCATCGTCACTTAGGTCATAGAAGCTGGCCGTAGGAGAGGGTGGCGTCTGTGTTGGGGAAGCCATGCGGGGCTGGTGAGGCTGCAGCCAGGGGGGGACACAGAGTTGGAGATGATGATTTCAAAGTGGCTGCCTATGTCTTGGGAAAGATATATTCACGAATAGTGTAATCCCAAATCAAGAAAACGCGCGTACTGAGCGCGATGTGGTTGCAGGTGACGCTTGCGGGCTGTGACCAGAGCTCGCCGCATGACGGTGTGGCGGTGCGCGGGGGAACGCGTCGCCCCTCACCAAATCAAGTGGCGCGCCCAAGAGCTACAGACCCACGCTTCCTCTGAGCTCTGAGCTGACAATGAGGTGATAACCTGTGTACTGATGTATTGCTATTAAGGACCTGCCTATGCTGTAACCCACGCCATGCTGCCGAGTTGGTACAGACCTGTGCTATGCCCGCTTGCCGACCCTGTAAATGACCAAGACAACTCCAATGCGCCATGCTGAATCTATGAAACATGTCCTCAGCGCATGCGCGGCCCGCTAGGCAATCCCATGCGTCCACCTTGTGGTCCGCGTTGTGGTGGTGGTGCGTTACCGTATCCTCCTCCACTCTGTGGCGCATATGGGTCGTCGCCGCCACTCCATGGGGAGTTTGACGACATGCCGTATGAGGCCTGCTGTCGCCCGCCACCACCACTATCAGCGCTGCCATAGCTGTTGCTCCGTTCGTCGGGATAGGGTGCTCGACCACCCTGGGGGGCGGATTGTTCGTTGCCGCGCTGTGCTGGACTCTGTGATCTTCCCCATAATCTGGCTTTGAGCCTTTCCTGTGCTGAAGTGCCTGATCCTGTTCCGGCGCTCGGGGGTGGTGAAGCTTCTGCTGGCGGGCGCCCCCCCAAAGAGCTCTGGTAGCTTCCAGCTCGTTGACTCGGCAATGGTCTGCCTTGACTTTGAGGCTCTGGCGTCAGAGAGTTGCCCATGGGTCGGCCTTGCATGGGACGAGCTCCACGACCTCCTGTCGCTGGCCGGCGTAGTGATAGCGGTTCCTGTGCTTGTTGTTGCGGCGGATTATCCCAGAGATCGCTGAGTCCCCCTCCTCCGCGACCCATTTGCGATGCCTGTCCTTGTTGTCGGAGCGACGAAGAGGCGAACTGTGCGGGCGGCGCAGCCTGGGGAGCTTTTGGGTCGGGTGGAAGCCATTGAGGGAATGGCCTGCCTTTTTCTGTATAGTATGCACGGAGTACTCTTGAAAGATGAGAGTCGTCCTCTGTGTCGCCGTCTGCCTCGTCGGAGAGGATCTGTCGCCGAAGGTTGTTGTAACGCGAGGTTGTGTTTGTAAGGAGGTTGTTTAGATACGACGACATGATGCTGTATGGACGTGCTGAGCGACTGTCCCCGCTCGCTGCAAGCTTTGCGCGACTTTATACCCCCGTTTCGGTGTTGAGGATTAAGTGGTGGGGAGACGGGTAGACGGTCGGGTCGCTGTTTCCAATTTACTCGGCAACTGCGTCTCGGAAGCGAACACGCTCTGTCACAACGCGACACCGCCAGATGCGACTCGACACCGCACTTTAGCGCACGGCTCCTATGTCATTGACGTTTATCAGACCACTTCAATTGACTCTGAAGACCCCAACTCTATAACTATGGACACAGAAATATCACGCTGCCAGCTCTGCACATGCGCCCGATGCCTTGGGTCGCCTGACTGCCTTTATGCAAAGCAAGGAAATCGAGGATCTTCCTTAAATGTTGAAACAACTTGAGACGACATACCTATTTGGCAGACTACAGCCTACTTATACCAGCATGAAATCTTCCGAACAGCATGATACGCAGATGATACTATATTAGGCAGTGTCGATCACAGTACCGACATTGTGGTCCACCGGAAAGAGTAAGAGACGGGATTCGACGTATCGTACAACTCCACTCCGTCCGCTCGTACAGGCTTATCATGTGCAGTGTGCGGATTCGCTCCATGAACCTTTGACTTCTACTCAGCCATTCAGGTGTGTAGTCGGAAGCTATACAAGCTGATCGTGGAATAGTGCCAACAATTGGCGGCCTGTCGAAGGGCTGACCTGGGCAAGGGCGTATTGGCAGGTGTATATATATCAATGAGCACAAGTTCCTGCTTAAGTTCTATTCAACCAAAATCAGCATCATTATCCACCATGATGCGAGTAACAGACGCCGAAATCCTTACCGCCATCGCAAACATTGACGATGAAGCCTCTCAAATCGACACCATAATGTCGATGCGCCGCTGCTTCGGACCCAACAAGGACGATAAATTCTACCCTATAGTTCACGACTACCTCACCAACAACCTCGACGTCAACGAAACCACCCGTAAACTCCTCTCTCCCATCAACGCCGCCGTCCAAGCAAATGAAAAAGAGCCCAGCACCTACTCCCTCTGGTACCCCATCATCCACTCCGCCAAACGCCTTCCCTTCCGCGACATCACCGGCCTCCTCAAACTCGTCGCCCTCATGGACACCATCAAGTCTTCCCCTGCACCCCCAAATGCCCCAGAACAAGACAGAGACACGTACAGCGCACTGCTCCACTTCAGCATGTGCGCCCGTGAAACTCTAAATGACACCCCGGGTTACGGCTGCGGCTACCTCCCCCAAGAAGCCCACGCCTACGCTAACATGCTGTATTTCTACGCCCTACTAACCCGCGAAAACGTCTACACGTGCTGGATCTACTGTATCTGGACCATGCGGCCCGCGCTCGAAACATTATATGCAGACGACGATCCAGAAGACGTAAGTACACCAGCAACAGTGTTGGAAAAATACAACGCTTTTGTTCCGGCAGCTGCCATCTGGATCTTCGCCTTAGGCAAGCAGATTTACGAGAGAGAAGAGGATCTTACGCCCATGAATCCGAATCAGGGGAACTCGGGGGGTGGCGGGGCGTTGTGGGAGGGGAGGGCCGAGTTCAGTAAGGGGAGATGGGGGCTGTGGAAGAAGAGGTTTGGTGAGGTGGCGGGCATGGAGGGGGTGAGTGTGGAGTGTAGAGCTATTGCTAGGGAGGCGGAGGTGGCGATGGATGAGATTGAGAGGGCGTGATGGATTTGGGGTTGAGGGGTTAGGTGGATACGTGGTCGTGTGTTTGAGATGTAGTGGAGAGGAGGATGAGGATGTAGACGCCAGAGGCCATAATTCGCTCGTTGCTAAAGTCCTAATTGGAATTTGAAGTATCCAAATGAAAGCATTTCATGCCGCTTTTCCATGCAGTGAAATGTGCTACTCAGTGAGCAAAGCACCCATACCAGAGGCTTTGATGCAGCAAAAAAAATCCCAACTTTTCCCCATAACCTCGACTGAAAACACACCCACGCACCCAGGAACCTCCACCCCACATCAAACGTCCCTAGACCTAACCTCCCTCTCCCCAATAACCCTGAAAGCCCCATCCACCTCCCCCAATCCCGTATCCCTCACATCAAACGCCAACTTGTCCTCCCCAGCCTCAATCACCTCCATCTTTGGCTCTGTATCCTGGCATCGCTTATCATTCCCATCCTCATCACCATCCTCATCCTCGTCCTCCTGGTACGCCCACTCAGCACCCGCATCAAAGTTATAAAACTCCAGCAGCGGACCGTAAAGCAAGATACCAATACCGTCTTTAACATTTCCACCCCGGCACATGGCGTCGAGGAGAACGTCGCCGCGGTGTAAGGAGTTGGTGGAGGAATAGGTGGGCAGAGTATCCCATTCAGGTATCATGATTGCGGAGTAAGTGTACGGTGTCCACTCAAACCTAACCGTAGAACCAGACTCTGCTGTACCAAGGTTCGTGGCGGCCGTCTTGCGGCAAACGACAAAAGCGGCCATACGCTCATGGGGAAAGATATCGTAGTTGAGGTTTGAAAGCCATATAATATCACATAAAACCTTGTGAGCCTTTGCTTCGCGCTCTACTCTGCGTTCCGCTTGCAGCTCTGCTTGCGTGGGTGCACTCTTCTTTTTCTTCGGTTTCGACTTCGACTTCTTGGGAGCCTTGGGTTTGTACGGGGGGGCCTTGGTATAGATGTCTGAGTTGTCTGGGGCGGCGAGGATGAAGCTCATACCGTTGGCGGCGACCGGACCGAGTGAGGTGGGCGTGACGGTGTAGCCTTGTGAGGTAGGGTAGTAGTGGGTGAGGAGGGCGAATACGAGGGCCTTGGCGTATTGCATGCGTGTGAAAACTGATGTTGGCGACTGTGGGCGGTAGTTGTCGAGGTAGGTGTCGTACAGGGCTTGCAGATGAGGAATGTTGTTGATGTGGGTTTGGGTGTGATCGGGTATCTCAAAGTTGAGAAGAATCTTCCAGTACTCGTAGGATTTCAAAACCTCAAGATCGTCCTCTTCGCCCTCGGCGTCCGCGTCGGTCCCCAGTATGTTGTCGGTATCAACGACTGGTGCCTGGTAGTCATGCGCGTGATACATTGCTTCAGTATCGTCGTCTTCACCCTCAGCGTCCGCCTCTGTTCCAAATGCCTCGCTGTCATCAACGATTGGTGCCTGTTGAACATACTCGGGTTGAGGCGCGATGCTATCAGGTGTGACCATTCCCTCAAAGTTGTTGTAGTAGGAGTCAGGCGGCGGGGCATCGGGAATGGATACATCGCGACCTGTGGGTAGATGATGCTGCAACGCGGGATCGGCATACATATCGTTGGCAGTGGCTGAAGCATACATGAATCCGACATTGGGGTCTAGCCGAGGAACCTCATGACTTAAGCCGGGGCCAATGCTAGAGCCCATACTCTCGTGGTAGAAGTTCTGGTCCATGCTGAGAGCAAGTAGTTGACTGGATTGCTGGGGGTGGTTGAGAGTGTAATGGAGGCTGAGTGAGCGAGTTGATGTATTTAGGGCCGTTTGTACAGGTAAAGTTGGGTTCTCGACCCAGACACTTACCTCTCACTAGTAACGTGTATTTAGAGGTAATAGTCTCGGTAGCAAGCCCAGCAACACTGCACGTGACTTGCGTTGGACTGAGTCACGAGCGAGAATAGAAACACGCCCTCGGGGCACATGCCGAGCCTGGAGTATTTTTGATGTGGTCTTCTGTCATGAAGACTTATCAGAGTCAAATGTGCACGCCTCAGGCAAGACTGCACTCAGCTTCTGACGGTATACGAGAAGTTCTTCAATTTCTCAACTCTCTCATGTCGTTATATCATTCATCGGTTGGGTATCAGTTGTAGTGACTTCCAGGGAACCCTCCACCCCCTCCATTGCGCCTTCAGTAGCTCCATCCACGGCCTTCTTGGCCTGTCCTTTTGCCTTCTTCTTGAGTTTCTTCTCCCGATTTCGTCGCGTCCGCTTCTCGCGCTCAGCTTCAGCCTTTTCTTGTGCAAGCCTCGCCTGCTCAGTCTGCTTCTCCTTGGTGGCCTGCAGCTTTTGCCTAATGGCGATGCGTGCCTTTTTTCCCTTCCGTGTCCGCTTGCGCTCCTTCTCTTCGAGTGTGAGCAGCGTTGGGGGATGGCCGACCAATACCTCCTTCCTCATGCCTGCTGCTGATATTTTGCGCACCTTCCAGGGCAAGGCGCAACCCGGCCATGGCTGCTTTGACAGCTCCAGGACACTCCTTCCATCTATGGCTGCCGTTTGGAATGCGACTTCCTCTTCGCTTGTGGGCTCATCGGCAAAGTAATAACTCCGTGGCTTCTTCAGAAGAAATCCTGGCTCCCCGAGATCTGCGCCGGGAGAAGACAAGCGTATCTTGTGAGTCTGTGGAGGCGCATTGGATGGTGCCGCGAATAGTCGCAGCTCGATTTCCTCGTCGTCGTCGGGTGGCGTATCTTGGGCGACATCTTCAGTGGTCGTAAATGTGAAGTCGGTGTTTATCTGGGACCGCAACAGGTCTTGGAGGTCTGGGTCAGGCGACGACCGTGGTGACGATGTGGGCGAATGCAGCTCCTCGCGTCGCACCCTTTGTGATGTCAGCGGCAGATATGATTTACATTATTGCGTCTTATTACCGCTTCGCATCCGGCAACTCAAACATGGCGTCTTGCGCAGATGGAATATGATATTGGTGTCTTGAAGATTTGGTCGCTGCACATCGGCTAGACGGCGGGAGATCGGCCGTATTCAGCTCTTGTCGAAGCGCGTGACTAGCGGAATCGCGATCCCTCAGTCATGGTTCGATACCGGTAACCGCAACTTGTGCATGACCGGATTCTGATGCCATGAATTAAATGCTGAAACAAATTCGACTGGTGGCCGACCAGGATATGGGGCCCTCTAATACCCATACAGTTACTATGGTGCTCAAAAGGGACTCCCGCGGCAGCCACCACCACTTTTGGTCCTCGGACTGAGTTGAAGGAAGCTGTCGATGCCGTTTGTCGAATAAACCCCACCGCTGTGCTTCGCCCTGGCCCTGGCATAAACACGCCGCAGCGCGTGTGAGTGATATGTTGACGTACCCCGCAAGTAAACAATCACCATGGTCTATTTCCCAGAAGCCTCGCGGGAGCGGGATCTTCATCGGTTCGTTGATTGCGTCGCAAGTTTGCTCACAGTAGCTAAATAGTGCGTAAAGATACTACCGTCCATGGCTCGACGCCCAAAGCCTCGTGGATGCCGACGGCGGTGGCAAGCCATTGACCTACTCCGGATTCCAGCCCCAGGCTTCGCGCGACCGTTCCCTGACGGCTTTTGCCCAACTAGCCACACTGCGCCTAGACACGCGCCGGGCCATGGTCTCGCTCATCGACTCGAATCGACAGTACATTCTCGCCGAAGCAACGCGCACTCTCTCGCTGTTCAAGCCTGTCGCCGAAGAGCCTGAAGACGAAGTCTGGCTGGGCAATGCCATCTTGAACAAGACTGATGCAGTGTGCTACCACACCTTCACCTCGACGTATGCTGCAAAGGAGGAGAATGGCGACACGATCGAAGCCGAGGGCATGGTTATACCCGATTGTAGGCTGGATCCCCGCTTCGCTGACAAGGACTATGTCAAGTCCGAGCCTGGCGTGCGCTTCTATGCAGGCGTTCCCATTGTTACAAAGGCAGGTCATCGCATTGGCGTGTATGCCGTCTCCGACGAGAACCCTCGCGCTGGCATTAGTGCCAGCGAACTGCGCTTCATGCAGGATGTTGCGGCTGCCGTCATGGAGCATCTTGAACTGGCCAAAGATAGCATGGACCGGAACAAGGGTGAGCGCATGGTCCGGGGCTTGACACAGTTCATCGAGCGCTCCTCGGCCCAGGACATGCGTGATGATGGTAATCGGCCTACGACCATGGAGCGCCAGACCGAGAACTCGCGTCTGACGACACTAGATGAGGAAGAGGAAGGAGGCTCTGGTACATCGGCACATGTGACGGCCAGTAGGCAAGCTCAACGCAAGCGTGACACCGAATCAGATGCTGCGCGTATCTTCCACAGGGCTGCTCGTGTGATACGCCAGAGCACCGAGGCGGATGGTGTCGTGTTCTTTGATACGTCGACAGCTGGCATACGCACTCATCTCTACGACTACAATAGAAACGCGGGTAGTAGCGATGAGAGCGCCACCCACAACACTGACACTGGTGATTCGACCACGTCGCGGAGGCAGAAGAAGCAGAACTCCATCAATACTAGCGGTACAACAGATACGTCTGGGGTAGACAGCAAACCGTGTCCGGTGATTGGACTTTCTTTGCGAGAAGGAAACGCAGCTTTGGTGCACACTGACTTTAGCTTCAACGAGGCTGCTATGGAACGCTACATTCATAGGTATCCTTATGGCAAGTTTTTCAATTATGACGAGGATGGAAAGGGAGTCAATTCGTCTGATGAGAAATCGGAACGCTCCGAAACAGAACAATCGGATCGGACTGGCAATGGTACCGCCACTGGCAACAAGAAACCGCGCAAGAAGCGGGAAAGTTTTGTTCCCACAGAGTTTCTGAGGGTCTTGCCCAAAGTTAGAAGTCTGATATTCCTGCCTTTGTGGGACCCTGCCTCTGAGAAATGGATTGCAGGGGGCTTCATCTGGACCACCCAAGCCGGGAGGCTGATGAGCCCTGACAACGAACTGCCATATCTACAGGCGTTCGGAAATTCAGTGACCAGCGAGATTGCACGACTAAACGCACAAAAGGCCGACCGTGCCAAGACTACCTTTATTGCCTCAATCTCGCACGAGCTACGGTCGCCGCTCCACGGCATCCTCGGCTCTGTCGAGTTCCTGCGTGAGACTGTTGCATCGGCATACCAGGAGTCTCTTGTTTCTTCTATCGAGACATGTGGCAAGACTTTACTTGACACTATTGACCACGTGCTTGACTATGCAAAGATCAACAAACTGCAAAGAGGAAACACCGGCCATAAACATAGAACCACTGGACGCAACAAGAGACTCCCAGCTGATAACTCGATTCTTGGCGTTACTTCCGATGTCGATCTAGCCCAACTAGTCGAGGAGGTGTGCGATACTGTATGCGCTGGGCATACATTTAGGAAGACACATCACATCAAGGGATCTGCCATCTACGATCAGGCTGAAAGCACGACAAACTACAAGAAAGACGCTAGCGATGGCCAGGATGTGGAAGGAAGAGACACTCATGGTTCAGTCGCTGTGTCGCTCATTGTAGCCCCATATGTTAGCTGGATAGTTCGTTCGCAGCCCGGTGCTCTCCGACGGATCGTCATGAACTTACTAGGCAACGCCCTGAAGTATACGGATTCTGGTTATGTTGCCATCAAGATGGTGCAGAACAATACCACTGCCAACTTCATGAATCTGTCTATCAGCGTCGAAGATTCGGGTAGGGGAATGTCACCGGAGTACCAGCGAACCAAGCTCTTTTCCCCATTCAGTCAGGAGGACCCATTCAGCTCTGGTACTGGATTAGGGCTTTCGATCGTCAAACAAATCATCGAATCTCTCAAAGGCGAAATTGAGGTCAGGAGTACTCAGAATGTCGGCACTGTCATCACAATCAACATGCGCCTACCGGTTGGTCTGAAGGAAAACGCGCACCAAGACCATGCCCTTTTATGCGCACCCCAGGAGCTGAAGGGTACATCGGTCAACATTATTTGCGATATGACTGACACCCAAGGTGGTGAACGTGGAAAGAAGACCAAGGAATCCATGGAGAATGCCTGCAAGAACTTCGACATGAAGATTATCGAATCGAGGCACTCCGAGAAGCTCCCCGACAGAGAAGCCCCGCTTACCGAGGTTGACTTCCTTCTCACAGACTCTGCTTCCCTCTTCCAGCTCATAAATGGCGGGTCAAACGCTGGCCGAACTAATAGAAAGCCATTGGGTGTGGTATGCGTCTGTACAGACACATCTGAAAAGATAGCCGTAGAGACTCAACTTTCCAGACATGTCGATACATTGGGCTGGATAATTGAGGTACTTACGCAACCATGCGGCCCACGCAAACTGGCCCGGACACTCTTATCATGCCAAAAGCGCGCCGAGCAGCACGGTAGCGAACGTCCCATCAGCCGATCCATGAGTTCCTCAATAGTTCAACCGGACTTCCAACCCCTCTCTCCCTCCCGCAACATGGCCCATCGCAGCCTCAGCGACATGTACCCCCAGGAAGTCTCCAAACAATTCAACCCATCAGCCGGCTACCCCTCACCGCCCCTCCCCCAACAAATGCCTACAACCTCCACCCCGCAAGCCTCCAGCCACAGCGAAACAGGCGAATACTTCAACCCCCGCGTCCTACTCGTAGACGACAATGCCATCAACCTCAAGCTCCTCGTCGTCTTCGCCAAGCGCCAAAATCTGCGCTATGAAGAAGCTACCAACGGCCTAGAAGCGTTTAATACGTATAAGAATGAGGCGAATTCGTCGTCCCCGCCATCAAGACCCTTTGACTTTGTTCTCATGGATCTTAGCATGCCTGTCATGGATGGTCTGACTAGCACACGCAATATCCGCCAGTTCGAAAGCGCGAATGGGCTACCGAAGAGTCAGATTGTGGCGCTCACAGGCTTGGCTAGTGCACAGGATCAGAGTGATGCGCAGGAGGCGGGTGTGGATATGTATCTTGTTAAGCCGGTCAAGTTTGCGGATATCAAGAGGGTGTTTGGTGGGAAGTGAGATTTATCCTAAGTCTAGCGTGTCTGTTTGGGGTTTCTTCTTGGTGGTTCCACCTAGGTGTCATAAAATACTTAACAGTGTGGGCAAGCACCTAATAGGTGTGTCTGGCGACTACAGTGGCCCTTGTACACGAGTATGTTAAGTATTTCATGACACCCGGGTGGTTCGGGGGCATTTGTTTCTTCTTTGGATACTTCGGCATGATATACGACGGTATTATCATTAGCATTTTGAATGGCGTTTGTATTGGATGACATGTGTAGGCTATTGGTTTGGCATGGGATATATGTTGCCTGATGGAGAGGGATTTTGCGATATTATTTTTCCATATACATACATACACTTTCTACGCTCGACGCGATGACGGAGGGGGATTGTTTTACATTTAGGTTACCTATCGGCAAGCAAGATGAAGACGATAAGGCATGCTGATGAATGAACTTTTGTCTTGATTGAATAGTAGCATTCTACAGCCCCAAAAGAGCGACGAAGCGACCATTGCGCCACACCAGCACCTCTGCGCGAGCAGATAATAAAAGATAATAGTTGGATATCAACAGAGAAAAGACCCAACATGTACACACCCTGCGTGTCATGCCCGCCAAAAAAAGGAAAGTCGTAGAAAAGAATTCACAAGCTATACACCAACTCTACCCTCTACCAGTTCAACCTGTCGAAGATGTTGCTGTTCTTAATGTCCCTCTTCCTGCTACCGCCGGGTAGCGCAGAAGTACAGTCGATGAGACCATCGCTCTCTACACCCATCATACCCAGCTTAACCATTGCAGGCACGAAGGCTGCATCCCACGCGCCCTTGCTGACAGCAAAGGTAGTCCAGGAAATTGCGGTGGCCGGGTGGTTTGCAACGTTCCTGTCTGACGGGAGAGTGAACGGCGCACTACCGCGCCTGGTCTCGGAATAGAACCTATTGTCCCAAGTGCCAACGGTGGAGTCGAGCGAAGTACCGGGCTTGGAGGGGTTGCTGTGGCGTTGTTTGGCTGCGGTATGTGCGCCGACGAGGGCAGCGAGGTCGATGGGGCTGAAGCCTTTGGATGCTGAACAGTTGGGTTAGTACGATTATTTACATACTTGAAAAAGCAGGTATTTTTGCTTACCGAATGATCGGACCAAAGTGTCTCCTGGAACATTGGGGCCGGGTAGTACACCAAGAGCACCCGGTGTGCTGGAGTCTTGACGACCAACTTTAACGGGAACGGTAGGGCCACCAGGACATGTCTTGACAGCGTGTGCAGCAGCGAATTGGATGAGGTCTGCTACACCGACTCTGGTTTGTGTGGCCACATTGGCGAGGTTACTGCATAGACGCTCCATACCCCGGTTTTCGGTGTTCGAACACTCGTTTGCGAGGATGAGGGAACCGTCGCATGCGCCGTTGAAGCAATCATGGAAGGAGGCGCGGATAGCAGCACGAGCGGCGTCTGTGCATTGTCCGTCTCCGAGGAATTGTTCGGTGAGTGTCTTTGAGATTTGCGACCAGACTTCAGGGCATTGCGGCTCATCATCATCACCGCCACCGCCGGAGCCGCCTAGGATGCCTCCGACCATGTTGAAGATGTCATCGAGGAAACGCTTTCCCTTTGGTGCGCCGAGGTGGGCGACGTCCCAGATCTTTTGCTCTTCTCGGATTGTAGAGTTGCCGTAGGCTTCGACTGTGCTGGCAGCCGCAAAGCCGGCGATGAGGACATTGCGAATATACATTATGAACTTGAAGTGTACAAGATGACGATAAATATGTTGAATAAAAGTCTGTGAAGATGGAAGTAATAGTACAGAGAATATATGCTGAATAGCCAACGAGTGTGTCCTGTACCAACCTAGGGTGCTGCTACTAGAAGAGCGATGGTTACACGCCCTTATATGCTGTGGAGCAATCTTGCAGATGGAGGCAAGAATAGCAGCATACTTCCGGATAGCACGGTACGGGCGTGTGCAGCTCTTGACCCTGGTTACCAAGGGCAAGGTTCAGAAGGCTGCTAGAATAGCTGTGACAGGCCACTAGGGGTGATGGTGAGGAAGACCCACTGTGCCTTGGTTTGAGAGTTGGGTATACGCCGTTGTACGGACAGTAGCATCGCTCGTGCTCATTACAGGATATGTGGTAGTGAACCGTGCCGAGCGTCTTCGATCATGCCTTGCCATGCACGGTAACATCTTCCATGAGACCAGCTCGCCAGGTTAGACTAATTGATTTTGATCTCACTCGCCATAACAGTATGGTCAGTTCTGTTGTCAATCTCACTTGCCGCAACCGTCGTATACTCGTAAGACACTAACATGAAATCAACACTAGCGGCACTGCGTTATCCTGGGAGCATTGCAGAGCAAGCCATCCGGAGATACTGTTCTGGTAACACATTAGCCACGGAAATTACCCATCTGGGTGATGATGCCCCTTTACCGAAAGTGAAATTCTAAAGAAAGGTGTGGGGTGTTGTTTTATTGTTTCAGAACGGCTCCAGGCTAGCGAGCTTAGGAGAGCATCATGTGCAAGAACCATTGATCGCCACGGCCCCGCGGTTTGAAACATGGGCGCCAGGCGTTTGAGGCGCAAGACAAGGCTTGAGCTTGTTTAGACGATAGCCGAAAATCTGTGTAGCTTAGATTAGGCGCATGTCAGCCACTTGAAGTTCAAGCCTGCCGTTAAAGTATGAATATATCGCGCAGACTCGCTTTACCTCTTGCACACAAGTTTGCGGCTGCGTACGGCAATCAATTCCTTCTTTAGAGATACTAACCGAGGTTCGTCCAAGGTCTTGACAACGTGGCGCGTACGATCAAAAGGCTCCGATATGAGGTGGTTCGAGTCATTCCAGGAGGTGTATCGCGTGCACCAGCTGCCAGCATAGGGATCTCGCATGCACAAATACGGATGCAGCATAACCTACCCATGAGCGATTGGCCAAAAGCTGTAAAGACAATGATTGACTGCAAGAACGACGATGTAGCAGCCGTGATAGCCTTACGCACATCATATTGGGGACCCGAACTTGATATCCACTATAAGGATGATCCCAGACGGCAAATCCTCTAGCGAAACCTTTCTCGCCCGCTTGCACCTTGGTAATTACTCACGACCCACCAGCATGGCCAACTCTGACTTGACCGCGATTCAAGCCATTCGCATGCGCTGAGAATGTTGAAAGACCTGGGGTCAGGGTCGCAGAGGGAAGTTAACGCTGTACTGCTGATTGACCGCGAGCATTTGTTTGCGCTACAGGGGACGATGACGATGACGACAACGATAACCATCACCGCCTGCGAACGAGACCACTGAAACAAGTCTTGGTATTCGGCGTATGCCATGCGAGGTGGCGCTGTCAGTCGTACACCACGCCAAAATGACTTACCTGCCCCCGAAAAGAACGCCACAAGACTCTGCGTGGCAGCACTTCTGCCCGCTGAGCATCGCACCTCCGATTTATAGCCCAGAGGATACCGCGACGCGTAGTCATAAATCATATGGGGGCTGAATAAATCGGTTGGACACCATTTTTCTGAGGCGCTGGGATTTGATCAGAAGATGAGAAAAATGAAAACAGCTGTCACGCATGGTGGCAGGCTTCGCACTATGAGAGGCGCGTTGATTAGCGTGATGATGATAGGACTGAGACCGTAGGCTGTGCAGTGCACTTTTGTGGACATTGATGAGCAGGTAAGGTTCAAGGCAGAAGCTCGAGATTGTGAAATCAAGTTGGATGAGGTATGGAGCCGGTTTCGCTGGCTCCTCCCCTGTTGAGCGACATCGCGTGACTTCGCTCAAACCTGAGTACATGGAGTGCATGACAACATGTCAAATCAACAAAAGAACAAGATAGATACAGAATATCTCCTAGCAAATTCGTGAGTACACTTCGAAAGATGATGACGCTTGAATGTAATTGCTTACTGTGTGGTACTGCATTAGTGCTGATTTTAGAGTTGCTGCGAGGTGCTGATGCAAATGGTGATTTAAAGGACAATTATATTCGGCCTGCACGTTGGTAAACAATGGAGTGCATTGCTTCGAAGCTATTGTAGTATTTTTCCTGTCGCCTGTTGACGCACCTTGCAAAGTTACGCCATTATCACTTTCCCCACTCTTTAGCAATCTGACAATTTCCAGCATACTCCGTACCAAGAGCAAATGCAGAATGGTGCTTTGTCGGGGAGATTACATGAACTTTGTAGCAGCATACCAAGCTGCAGCCGCTACTGCAATCACAGACGCACCCAGTGTAGCGAACCCACTACCTCGAAGAGGCACCGTCGCCCCTGAAGACAAAGCATTCCAATCAGCATACTTTGGAAACATGCACTTCAGAGTGAAGTCTGTCTGCGAACGCCTAGCGAGGCTGTCAGCTCTGTCTGTTCAGACCTAACAAGACGGTCAGAGAAACTTACGGATACATGGTCGAGTTGTAACCCTCCTCGTCCAGGTACCAGCTTCGACAACCAACGAAGACGGTCTTTTCCAGACCTTGCTTCACATCTTCGGTCCAGGCCGTCACAGCTTCTTTCTTGACCTCCACTTGATCGACTTGGCCGCGTATGATGGGTTTGATCATCTTCAGGATATATGACACGGTGTTTTCGGTCGTAAGGATAAGAGAGTGATGACCATTTGCGGTGTTGGGCCCGACGGCAATGAAGAAGTTTGGAAAACCATCAACTGCCATGCCCATGTAAGCAGCGGGGCCTCCACGCTGCTTCCACACATCCTGCAGAGCGACACCGTCTCGACCGTACACGGAAAGCGGATGCAGCCAACGAGTTGCCTCAAAACCATTTGCGAGGATGATTACGTCGGCATGGACGCGCTCTTCAGTTGACGCACCCTTCACATCCACTCCGTCAGGCACAACCTCTGGCCCCAAAACCAACTCGCTTCCGTCTACAGCTAGAATTCGGCGGTTTGTAAGCGCGTAGTTTGGCTTGTGCATGCTAGGTAGCCACTCGGTATCAAAAACACGTCTCTTACAGCCATACGGATAGTCAGGAGTCATGAGATTGTGGTACTTCTCAGGTACTATGCTTCGCATCATCTCCAGCTGCTGTTTCTCGATAGCAGCGCGCCATTTCTTGTGCTTCATCTGGAAAACTGTCGACCAAATGACTTCCACAAGGAGGTATATCAACACGCGGTTCACATATCCAAGAAACGGAAGCCATTTGTAGATCGTGGGAGCGTACTTTGCATAAGTCTCTTGCCCAAATGGCTCAGAAAGTCGAGGCATTACCCATGGTGCTGATCGCCCGATCTGTGTGAGAGATTTCACCTGGTAGGGCTCTTTGAGCAGCGAAGGCACTACCTGTGCGGCGCTGCAGCCAGTTCCAAGGACGATGATGTCCTTCCCATTTAGATTGATATCGTCACGCCAACGTGCAGAGTGGAACACTTCACCCTTGAAGGTATCCCGTCCGGGGATGGAAGTTGGCCAGGGGTTCGGCTCGACAAGAATTCCTACGCAGCTTACAACTGTTTTGGCGCGCACAACCTCCTCTTGTAGGTATACTGAGTCGTGGCCGGATGCAGCAGCTTTGTCTTCTCGGTCTCGGGTACTGAGATCACCAACTCCAGGAACCAGATGCTGGAGCGTGACTTCCCATTGCCCGTCGGACTCTATCCACCGTAATTCCTTTACATCAGTGTTCAATTGTATGTGCGGCGCCAACTGATATCTTGCGGTAATGTCATGCAGGTACTCGCGAAACTCTTCCCCAGTCGGGTACAGACGTTTGGATGTGTAGTTTGGTGCGAAGGAGAACGAGTACAACGAGGTCGGCCTTGACGACATTAACATCACTACACCTCGATCACTGTGATATCACTTACACGTCGCATTGCTGGAAAAATGTTAGTCTTGGAAATGATGATATGACTTCAGCAAAAAACTTACCACTCCGGGGTATCGATTTATCCACCAAGTCCCTACAATGATAGGTCAATACACGCAACGGCAGATACGCAATCACATAACTCACCACCAATGCCAGACTGACGATCAACAATCTTGAACTGATCAAACCCGAGCTTCTGCTTGAGTTGACAACCGGTCGCGATACCACTTGCACCCGCTCCAATGATCAGAACAGGATAGTAAGGCGTTTCGCCTTGTTTCTCATTGATAGCGTTCGCCATGATGAAAGACAAACTTGAATAGGTGAAGTAGGGTAGTAGGGTATCAGGTGTGAGCTTGATAGCGCTGAATCCGGCAAGAAAACAGAGGGCTAATGTAAGCCTCACGGCAACCTCGCATATCTCAGAAGCGGAGTATGTCGAAAGCGAAAATAGAGGACGGAGAGATGGGCGAAGAAGGCTGTGGCAGGGGAGCGCGTACGCCGCAGACTAGTCGGCTGCTCCTTCACGTTGATTGGTTAACCGAAAAGGCAGGGACTCTAACCCTGCGGCGTAGTACATGAGGTGGTACATATTGACCCCACCTGCAGCCGTTAATAGTCATAAGTCCGCGTGTCAAAGAACACTGGGGACAGCAAGTTGATCACCGTTCCCGTGTCACATGTAAAGGATGCAATGTGGGCTGCCGCGCTCCCGACACTGCGGTTCAGGCAACCACTTCTATATTGATTCAAGTGCTTACGCTTTACAAAGAGCACCATCGTCACTTAGCATCCAATCTTCAGCTCCGACGCACCACTGACACCAGAAAACCCCCTTGGGATCAATGCGCCTTTTGATCGCCAACAGCCTCGCGTAGTGCTCGCCCCAGAATGCCTTGCGAAAGTCAGCCTGGTGGATCCAAGCTTCGTTTGAATACGTCCCCATATTTGGGGCTTGCTCGCTGAGTGCTGTTGAAAGCATGTCAGCCTGCGTCATCGTATTGTCTCGTTTTGATGCATCCGCTCCCAGAGGATAGGGTATGCCACTCACTATGCCTTGTTAGCAAACTATTGATGGGAACATGAGAGATCAACTTACTCATCTCTACCACAGTACGTCTCCAAACAGGATTCAAGGCACTATCATCGCTTGACTTGTTCCGTACGCCCTCACCACTAACACATGTTCCCTGCAGCATTTGACTAGAGAACTTTCGCAATGTTTGTTCAACGCCGCTTTTTTTTGCAACCGCTTCCTCGTCCCAGAGTCTACTAACAGTAAGACGATTGTTCCCAACCTTATCAGCTACAAAGAATGACGACTGGAAGCCAAGGTAGTTGGGAACGTATTGCGTTGTTATCGACGTTGTCAGCTCCGGAGTGGTGTTTAATCGGCTCATAATTGGGTCCAAAGCTCCCTGTAGTTGCCCAAGAGGGCCATTCAAGAGATAGATCAAAAACGCAAAGTTCATCTGAGGCAAGCTGTCGTTGGGGGTACTGATAGGCATCAAGGAGAAGTATCCAGCAAGCCCTTTCGAGTATAGTGTAGGCATATCTGCGATGACTGAGGCTGCGGCAGCGTAAAAGGCATTGTTGCTGTTACTTGTCGCCTCAACAAGACTAGAGTTGAACTCAAACCTTGCCAATGCTATGGTCGGTACCGGGTACGCTCGTAGGGTTGCATTCACAAGGACCCCAAAGGTTGCCCCGCCTCCCTAAATTCTTATGTCAGACGTAACGAAGTAGCGGGGTTGTGCATATCTTACTCCTCTCACAGCCCAGAAAATATCGGAATTTCGGCAAGGACTGGCTGTTATGATGTCACCGGTTGGAGTTACCAAAGACAACTCCAGGATGTTGTCAACGGCCATGCCGTGAAGAGAGCCGAGAGGGCTGTGTCCTCCACCTGTTAGGAAGCCACCGAGACCAACGCTGGGATCGGCTGCCCCAACAATAGTCATGTTGTGATTAGCCGCCATCTGCTGTATTTCTCCGGTGACGTGGCCAGCTGCAGCCGTGATAGCTGTATACTGCGTCGAATCCGACGGGCATGCTGAAAACTTTTCATGGTATCGGAAGCCCTGCAAGTGACGAGTCCACAAGGACAGCACTGACGGTGCCGTCGATCTGGATCAATCAGTTTTCTATTCCGGGAAAGGCATATGGCAGGAACAACACACCTTCCTAGCAAATCATGAGCTCCCCCTTTGACCACAATCCTCACGCTATTGGAAGCCGCGAACTTCACAGTCTGAGCAACGTGCTGAGCTGTTGAGGCATTAACCACATACTTGGGGAAAGTACCCAGGCTGCATCGCCCTGACCCCTCACTGAGCAAAGGCGGCACGCAAGCATCATCTTGCCAATTTGGATAAGCGACGCTGACTGGATCTGCAGAATGAAAAGACGAAAGCTTCCATGATGATGTGGTATAGTCGCAGAGCGTATTACTGGATGAAGAATTGGATACCGAGGTATAGCATGCTTGCGCAGGCGGTAAGGGCTCGAGTAATGCACCCGACAGAGTGGTGTTGAATTTTTTCCAAACGGATGGGTCAGGCCAACCGGTGAGTCCTGCAATGCTCTTGCATCGCTTTCCGGTGTGGATAGAAAGAGCATCCAGGGAATGAGTGAGAGACAATAGTAGAATGAGAAGTGAGTGTCTCATCGTGAACCTGTTGGAGAACATTCATTGTGGCTTGTGCTCCATTCCAATGGTTTATCTACATACACTCTCATCTAGATCTTCATATCGCCAACTGCATGAACGCCTCATGGACGCCTAATGGTCGCCTCGAAAGTACTTCGCTGTAAAATCCGAAGGTTCTATTCTCGGACATTTTCTTAGCGATGTGATCAGTGCACATCTTAGTAGGTCCTTCGGGCTGAACGAGACCGCACACACAACACTCGCGGAATAAATATTCTAGTTGGCGGATACACAGCCCCCTGCCCAGCTGCTTAGGGTGTCTTGAGCTCATGGCGAACAACATTTTGTGCACTGAAAGAGCTTAGTTGTCCGGTGATAGACGTGCGGATATGTCTCTGAGCCCCAATTTCAGCCAGCAGAGGTAGGGGATACGCAAGGCTCATGCAGCTGTAACCACACTACCAGCCACCGATAAGCCCGCGGAGGTTAAGCGAGGCGTATTTCTGCAGCGGCAGGCTGCAGCGAGAATACCGGCTAATGTCGATGTGGGTCCAGGCAGAAATGGTCGGACATCGGACACGTTCTGTCTAAGCGCCATCACGATATCGTATATCGGGTATCCAGATCGCACAACACAATTTAATGCTACGTGGCACAGTCGCATGGCGTATTTGCTGCTGTGCGAGAGTATTCTTTCTTACCCGGCACTTTGATTGTTATGGCAATGGGTCAAGGCGCGTATTCTACTATCACAATGTAATTCAGTGGAGGCTGAAGGATCGTGAAATCTACCCCTACGAAAATCCAGCATCGTATTGGGCAACGCCTTCTGAAGCGACTACACCCGTATAAGCGAGGATGGCCAGTGGACAATGAAGATTCTGTTAGCTGGGGGATCTCTACCAATTACAATTCGCCGTCTATGAGAAGATACACTATGAAAATATCGTCGCTCTTTTCCTGATTTAGACATTCTGATACGAACGGATCTCCACGCGGCTATCAATGGAGATTGTGCCCATCTCATAGTTCTGGCGGTGCGTATCATCCAGCTTCGAAGGTCCCTCAATGGTCGTGAGCTGGGTTTCATCCTCACGCTCAAACATGTTGCGAGAATCCTTCGATGACTGAGTCCCGAAGGAAACCTGTGGCGACTTGCCTCGTATGGAACCTCGTACAGATCCACGGATGGTAGCATACCAATGTGTCATTTTGGAGAAAAAGCCAGTGTTTCTGGGAAAGAGAGGACGGTAGGTGGGCAAGTTTCCACAGATCATGGCTATTCCTAGCTCGATAGTAGACCACATGATTCCCTTGGTATAAGATGGAACTGGAACATGTTAGCATGTGAAGAGCGCATAAAAGAACGATAAGCTTACCAGCTTTGGGGTTGTCCGGATTATAAGAATAAACCATACGAAGAACGCTGGTGATGAGAACACTGAATTGAGTATTATTACGATGAGCCCAATGACGCATGGTCTTTTTAATTGACTTACAAGCCGCCCAGGAGAAAGATGCTCATGACCTGAATCTTTCTTGGCGTGGAAAGTTGCAAACGAGGTACTATAAACGCAGGCAGGGCGAGAATAGCCACGTCGATACATGCGTTGAGTAACTCGTAAAAGAATACGAACTGACCGAACTCAACGCAGTGCTTGTTTGCTTGGACAGTAGGCGAGAAGTCGTAGACAGCGCGAATAGGTGTGCATTGGAAAAGAATGACCCAAAAACCCGAGAACAGCCACAGTACACATATTGACATGAGCACATAAGTTGTGTTAACGAACCAGGGTATCGAGAAGATCGATTTGTAAAAGCAGAGGATGGAAATCTTGAGCGCCGTGATTGCGGGTGGCCACACGTGACTGGCTACCCAGAGAATCTATCATGCATTAGAAACATGAAGAAGTGTATGACACCCGAAGTAAGACCGTTTCAATGGCGTACCTTTGTCAGCTCCGACAACTTCGTGATATCTGAGAAGAGCTGTATCTCCAAAGTCCCGCTGATACCGATGACAGCTAGGAGTCATGCATGAGCCTCGATTCAAATGCTACAAGAAAGGCGAGAAAACTAACAGTAAATGACCAAGGCTGCCCAAGCGTAAGTCCATATCAAAGCCACAAGCATCCAGTAGTCATCAGCAGCGAAACCACGCTTTGTCTTGTACTTCGAGATGAAGCGTAACAGAACAGCTAGCGAGTCCAATACAATGAATAGAATGGCCGAGACCAAGTTCGCTGCACCATCGGGTGCCATGGAGACTGGCATCTTCAAAAAAAGAAATCCACGCCCTCGCGGGACAAAAACGATGACGTGAAATGCGCTGGATAGGGAGACGAGAGCAAAGGCTGAAGCGGACAGCTCGAGAAGAGCAAATGCATCCCCTCAATTGCTTGAAAGAGGCGAGGGCGTCGAAGTGGCCAGCCTTCTGGCCCCGCCACACCCTCGGATTGGCTTAATGTAACAGTGAGTAGCAGGGTATCACGGGTGGGCTGTGAGACGAGGTACGCATGACGGTCCTGCATCGATAGATGGCTGTAGATAGGCCAAGAGTATCAAGGGTAAGGCGTTTTGTGTGGTGGGACGGACCGCATAAGCGGAGGTCCGTAGCTGCCATGTTTAGCGCCATGTCAGCGTTGGACTGCTAGGCTGCCTAGAATGGCACAAAACTTCCCCACATGAAGAATTTGGGCACCAGATGATTGCAACACCTGGGCGGCCTTGTGTTCATCATGGTTTCGGGGACCGAGGAGCCCATCACAAGGGTCGGGTCCCACACCTCCAGTGGACGCCTTAGAGTCGATCTTTGCCGCTTCCGGCTAGAGCTAGGTAACGACCTTCCCGAGGCTACGCGCCCGCCTTATTAACCAGCAATTTTCCAAGCCCATGCCTTGTTTACGCCTATTTCGACCACAACGCCGTTATTGGGGCCGAGGTCTCAGCGCTGATGCATGTTATCTGTCGTCTGCAAGGCTGCAGCTCGGGATAATCCTGCATAGGGAACGGCACTTTGATACCCAATTCCAACACGACAGCTGTGCCGCAATACCACTGACTTGCATCACCGACCGATTCTGCCAATCACTTCAAGATCTCGACGGAGAAAACTCATCGGGCGTTTAAATATCCCAGTCCGGGGACTTGAAATGACCCCATAGTTCACAAGAAGATACATGTAAAACCTCATGGCTGAGCATACGCCCGAGAAGATCCCGGTTCACGGAAAACACCGTCTGTACCTACGTATCTTGTCACATATTACTCACCCAATGTCCTCATTTGTCTAGTGTTCAAGTTGGGACTGTTGCATCACAGTTAGGCTGTTTCCAACGTCACATGCAATGAGTTTCTATTCTCGATCGACTTGTCGCCGGGAAACGGAAATGGTCGCCACCTGCACAGCCTCTAGTTTCATCACGTACACGAAGCACTTGTGAACTCCTAGGCGCGTGTAGTATCTCTTTTAGCTGGGAACAACCCATAGTAATCTGGTACAATACTTTGATCACCTGTTTTTTGTAGTCTTTTTTCTGGTCCCTCTTTGCGTTACTCCAGTATTACACGCACTATCCAACAACTTGTTACTTTTCGACAACATGGCTCCATTGATACAGGATGGCATCGGTGCAACTGGAGTGACTTCAATGCAGAGTGCATACCACAACAGCCCGAGCCAGTTCCACATACACAGCGATGGCGAGATCCGAGAGAAGATCTCTGACCATCGTTCGGAAGCCACAGAGCACCCAGCCCATGGCACACTGGAAGACGCTATGGAGCCCATAGCCATAGTTGGTATGTCAGCAAAACTTCCGCAGAGTGCAACGTCTCCCGAAGCCTTCTGGAAGTTGCTGGAGGAGGGACGGTCTGCCATGACAGAAGTGCCATCAGATCGCTTCAACATTGATGCTTTCTACCACCCCAACGGAGACAGGCTCAATACTCTGAACGTCCGCGGTGGCCACTTTCTCCAAAGCGATCTCGCAGAATTCGATGCGCCTTTCTTCTCGATACCCAAGACGGAAGCCGAGTCGCTGGATCCACAGCAACGTGGTCTCCTGGAAAGCACATACCATGCTCTGGAAAACGCAGGTATCCCCCTAAAAGAAGCTGGGGGTAGTAAGACAGGAGTCTTTGTTGGATGTTTTGCGAAGGAGTACGACACGATATTCTCGCGCGATACAGATCTACAACCCAAATACCAAGCCTCTGGAACAGGCTCGGCTATGCTTGCAAATCGTCTAAGTTGGTTCTACGACCTGAGGGGCCCTAGTATCACTCTGGACACAGCCTGTTCCAGCAGCCTCAACGCACTTCACTTGGCGTGTCAGAGTATCCGCGCTAAAGAATCAACGATGGTAAGTCTATGAAGTTCTTTGCCCCTACGTTCTTTCTGGCGAATCCAAGCAAGTAGTGTTTCGAGGATACTGTACAGATTTATTGACAAGGTAGAATTCTGTGTCCCAGTCGTGTTTTTGCATAACGTGTTTTAGCCTCGGTGTCTCTATTTCGAGTAACAAGTACCACACACTAGAACTATGCTGACTCAACTAGGCCATAGTTGCTGGATGTAACGTTATACTGAACCCGGATACAATTATGATGTCACTATCTAATCTCCAATTCCTGTCTCCGGATAGTCTTTGCTACAGCTTTGATCACAGAGCCAACGGGTACTCCCGAGGCGAAGGCTTTGGGGTCATAGTGCTGAAGCCTCTCTCGCAAGCTTTGTCAAACAACGATACCATACGTGCAGTAATTCGAGCATCAAGTTCCAACCAGGATGGTCGCACCCCAGGAATCACACAGCCTAGTGGAGATGCACAGGCACTTCTTATCCAAGAAACATACGAAAAGGCAGGCTTGGATCTGGGGACTACCAGGTTCTTCGAGGCCCACGGTACTGGTACACAGATCGGTGACACGACAGAAGCTGCGGCCATACATTCAGTGTTTGGGAAGTACAGGAGTCCCGAAGAGCCGCTCATCGTCGGGGCAGTCAAGTCTAATATTGGTCATCTCGAGGGTGCGAGTGGACTTGCCAGTATCATCAAAACGGTACTGGCTTTAGAGAAGGGTGTGATTCCACCCAATACCAACTTTGAGAAGCCCAATCCTCGTATCCCAGTACATGAGTGGAACATCAAGGCGAGTCCTACAGGATCCGCTCCAAAGGCTATGACTAACAAGTGTGCAGTTTCCAACAGAAAATATTCCATGGCCCTCAAAGGGTCTTCGAAGGGCATCTGTCAACTCCTTTGGTTACGGTGGAGCTAATGCACATGTCATTTTAGACGATGCATATCACTATCTAAAAGTTCGTGGACTTCAAGGTCGCCATCGAACAGCAGTACCAAGAGATCCTAGGACACAAAGCGCTAGGTCCCTCATTCGGCACTGGTCGGCATATCCCCAACCCAAGCTACTTGTTTGGTCTGCTGCGGATGAGCAGGGGCCACAAAGATATGTGGAAGCTCTTAAGGCACATCTTTCCGAGACCAAAGGAGCGGATCATGCTTATATCGTTGACCTCGCGTATACACTGGCTTCGAAACGGAGTCGGTTACCATGGAAGAGCTTTTTGAGGTTAGATTCGACTACACTGTCCTCCACAGATCTATGGAGGCAGTGTTCGAAGCCAGTCCGCTCTTCCGGAAACGCTCCAGGCCTTGCATTTGTCTTCACTGGACAAGGCGCTACCTGGTACGGGATGGGCCGTGAGCTTCTAGCAGAACCTGTCTTCCAAGAGAGTTTGCAGCAATCCGATGCATACCTGCGCAAGCTTGGCTCCAAGTGGTCCTTGATCGGAGAGCTCCAGCAGGATGAAACCTGCTCCAGAGTGAAAGATGCAAGGTATTCACAACCACTCACTACGGCGATTCAGATCGCGCTTTTGAGACTGTTGGAGAGCTGGAATATACGACCACTTGCCGTAGTAGGTCACTCTTCTGGAGAAATAGCGGCAGCATATTGCATAGGCGCGATATCGCACAGACACGCGATTGCAGCAGCTTATTATCGTGGAACGCTCTCAGCCGAACTAGCCGCAGCATTGACTGACACGCCAGAGACTATGATGGCGGTTGCACTGTCACCAGAGGAAACTAGCAAGCACATACATATGACACAATCATACGGCTCTGTCTGCATCTCATGTGTAAACAGTCCGAAGAACGTCACAGTTTCGGGAAGTGTTTCAGCAATCGAAGCCATGCGATCTAACCTGGATACAGAGGGCGTCTTTGCCAGGCGTCTAGATATCAAAGTTGCATACCATTCGCCCACAATGCAGAGGTTAGCTTTAAGCTATCTGGAGCTTCTACAAAGTCTCGATACGCATGATCCAGAGACGCCTAAAGATACTGGTGTGATAATGTTTTCGTCTGTAACTGGTACACTCATCTCGCACAAAGACGTACGCCGTGCTGAGTATTGGGTCGAGAACATGGTCTCCAGGGTCGAATTCTCCAGTGCATTATCCGCCATGCACAAGTACGTCAGTGCCACCGATTGTATTGTAGAATTAGGACCGACTGGAGCGCTGAGACGGTCTGTGCTCGAAACTCTAGGTAAAGTGCTTTACGAATCCGCTTTGAAAGTCGACCGCCCCGCATACGAGACTATCCTGGGTCTTGTGGGTGACCTGTGGAGTCGGGGCGTGCCCGTCGACCTCATGGCAGTCAACGGCTTGACTGAGTCGAATGCTCAAATGCTGACTGATCTACCCTCTTATCCATTCAACCACTCTCACAGATACTGGTACGAGAGTAGAATCAGCAAGAATTTTAGGTTCCGCAAACATGCGAGCCATGAGCTCCTTGGCACCCAGGCGATGGACTGGAATCCGTTGGAAGCAAAATGGCGGCACATCATCGACGCCAAGGAAAATCCATGGATCAAAGACCACGGTTTCAACGGATCACAGATCTATCCCGCGGCTGGTATGGTCATCATGGCTATTGAGGCTGCTAGGCAAGTGACTAAGAGCGACGGGCGCACGATAACCGGCTTTCGTATAAAGAACGTCTCGTTCGTCAAAGCTCTGGTCCTATCGGATAAAGACGAGACTCTCGAGACACACTTCTATCTGCGCCCTCAGGAAGCCGCTCGAGATACTTTTGGTGAATGGTTCGATTTCCGCCTGTGTTCGCTCAGCAACGAAGAGGGCTGGGTTGAGAATTGCCGAGGCACGATCATCATCGAAACAGAAGAAGAGGTCGTAGAAGTCGATGAAGGCCTCGAGGCAGCCGAAATGCGTCACTCAATACTGCAAAGTCATGCGCGTACCTTGTCCAGCTGTAAATCAGGCGTCTCTTCGAAGCAGATGTATGAGAACCTGGCTACCTTTGGCTTTGAATTCGGGCCTACATTCCAAACTCTGAAGAATATAGGTTTCAGTGAGCAAGGTTACGCTTCTGCCTGTATCGACACGCGCGAGTGGCAAACCAAAGTGCCGTCTATCGCATCCAAGATCCAGAGCCATCTCATCCATCCCACAGCTTTGGACGCGGTTTTCCACCTCACAGTCACCGCTATTTCCAGAGGTGGGTGGAAACCCATACCGACCATGGTACCGACATATCTCCACGAGCTGTGGATTTCAAGTAAACTGCTGCATGATCCAGATGCGTCATCGCTCCAGATATGCTCCGAGTCGCTATCACGCGGTCTCAGAGATGCTGATTTCAACATGACCGCTGTTGATGATCGGAGTGGAGACCTTGTCATTACCGCTAGCCAGTACCGTGCCACAGCGATCAGCTCCGTCGATATGAATGCCCCAGGCGTGTCTTCTTGGCGGAGACTTTGCTTCAAGCCGGAATGGAAGATGGACATTGCGACCGCAGACAACGACGCAGTCTCGCGTTACTGCAACAGTGCAGCAGATTCTGTGGATGTGCACTCTCAAGCATCCGTTGACGATGCTGAGCTGGTATGCATCTACTTCATGCGTCAAACACTCGAAGCCGGGTGTACTCGCCACGTATCCCAGCCCCATTTGCAAAAGTACGTGGACTGGATCAGACATTACCCGCAGGAAGACTGCGCACAGGCTGTATCGAGCTCCGAGAAGATGCAACGGATGCTAAACGACCAGTCTTACGCCGATTCTGTGATATTGCAACTGGAAGCCAGCGGCCCGGAGGGTAAGGTCTACGTCACCATCGGCAAGATGCTTTCCGCCGTACTCCAGGATGAAGTTGATGTTCTTGAACTACTCTTTGGGGGCGGACTCTTGCAACAATTCTATAGTGGGAAAGCCTTTACAGCCAACTACGAGCGCATGCGGGCTTACGTTGACCTCATGGCTCATAAAAACCCCAACATGTCCGTTCTGGAGATAGGTGCGGGGACGGGTGGTGCAACTGCCGCTGTTTTACAAGCACTGGGACCATCGAACCCAAGCGATGAGAACAGTACTCCGCGATTCCAAGAGTATGCGTACACGGATATATCTGCTGGTTTCTTTGAGGAAGCAAAGATCCGCTTCAAGGACCATACAAGTCGTCTAGCCTTCAAGACTTTGGACATTGAAAAAGAGCCGCAAGCACAGGGTTTCGAGGAGGCAAAGTACGATCTGATCGTCGCATCATGTGTCTTGCATGCCACAGCCGATATCCAACAAACGTTACAACATACACAGTCTCTCCTGAAGCCCGGAGGAAAGCTCTTGCTCTTCGAACCCTGCCAGCTATCATGTGCGCGACTGTCCTTTGTGTTTGGTCTGCTGCCAGGCTGGTGGCTGTCAAAGGAGCAACATCGTCGCTGGGGTCCGCTACTGAGAGATGAACAGTGGGACGAATCTTTGCGCAGTTGTGGCTTCTCTGGTAATGATCTTTGCTTGCGCGATCAGGAGGGTCCGCAACACACATTCAGCGTGATGGTTTCCTCCAAGACGGTTCCTTCTGCAGTAAACGGCGCTTCAGCAAGGATAAGTATTATTGTCGTCGATACCCACTCACAGATGCAGATGATGGTAGCAGAAAGTCTCCAAGCCTCTGCTCACACAATGGCGGGCTTGGACTGCACAGTTATGTCACTGCAGGATATTGCCACTTCTAGCATGGAGAGCTACTTTTGTATATCACTTCTGGAGCTTGAAACGCCTTGTCTATGGCAGATAGGCAGTGAAGGATATGCCAGCCTCCAACATCTCGTCAAGAACTTTAGGTGCGTCCTGTGGGTAACCGGCGACCCCACTCAGGACCCCCGTATGGGAGTTGCGACAGGCTTCGCCAGGTCTATGTGTTCCGAAAATGATGCTCTCGATTTCATCTCACTCGCACTCCGAAATCTATCGAGAAAAGAAGATGTGGTCTCGACAATCTTGAAAGTAGTGCAATCATCCCTCAGATCACCAGATGGTCAATGTGAGCAGGAATACCAGGAAGATGATGGCTTGCTCCACATTAACCGAATCATTGAGTCCAACGATGTCAGCAATGTTGTACACAAGCAAGCTGTACCGCAGAAGGCCGAGCTACATCTTTTTGGAACTGATCGAACCCGGCCTCTCTCACTTAACACGGCATCGCCAGGATTGCTCTCCGCTCTGCAATTCGTCGATAGCCCCTTCAAATCAGAGCTAGAGGCCGATGAGATCGAAGTCGCTGTGAAAGCAGTGGGTATCAATTTCAAGGACGTGATGATTGCGCTAGGACAGATACCCGATGCCTCCCTAGGCCAAGAGTGCTCTGGGGTGGTAACCGCTGTTGGCGCTGCAGTACACGACAGCGAATTCCGTGTGGGAGATCGCGTCTGCTGCGTGACTCGAGGCGCGTTCAGAAATCTTGCCCGAGCACATCGATTTGCGATATCAAAAATACCCGACGAAATGTCTTTCGCCACCGCTGCTGCGATACCAGTGGCCTTCTGTACTGCATGGTATTCGCTCGTTCATCTAGGTCGTCTACAGGCAGGCGAAACTATCTTGATCCATGCGGCAGCAGGGGGAGTTGGCCAAGCTGCTATACAACTTGCAAAGGCGGCTTCTGCAGAGATATATGTCACTGTCAGCAGCAATGAGAAGAAGCGGCTGTTGATGGAACTATATGGCATCCCTGCCGACCATATCTTCTCCAGTCGCCACATCTCCTTCGCCCAAGGCTTGAAACGCATGACAAAAGGTCGCGGAGTGGACGTTGTCTTGAACTCACTTTCGGGAGAATTTCTCAAAGCCTCCGTCGATTGCGTGGCTCCTTTAGGTCGCTTTGTCGAAATCGGAAAGAAAGACATGTACTTTCGTTCACAGATGTCAATGTCGCCTTTCCTACAAGGCATATCTTTTTTGGCTGTCGATCTGGGGGTGATCGCTGACAGGGCGAAGCCCCTGATGAAGGAGTTACTAAATCGGGTCATGGGATATTTCACCAAGCAAAAGAATACGATGCAGCCCCCGCAACCCTTGACGGTCTTCTCCGGCTCCCAATTGGAAGAAGCATTTCGGACTCTGCAAAGTGGCCGCAACTCTGGAAAGGCAGTGATAGCGTTCAGTCCCGAGGACCTGGTTCCAATCGTGCCGACTTCGAGACCAGGGTGGTCATTCGCCTCAGATGCCACTTATGTTATTGCTGGTGGAAGCGGTGGGCTGGGCAGAAGCATGGCGCGATACATGGCCACGCATGGGGCAAAGCACATCCTGCTCTTGTCGCGATCCGGTTCAGATTCGCCGCAGGTCTCTGAACTTATTCGAGAGCTACAGCAAGACGGCGTTACAGTAGTTGCGCCATCATGCGACGTTAGCGATGCGCATGCCTTGGAAACCGTAATTCATGACTTGCACGACCAAATGCCGCCTATCCAAGGATGTATTCAAGGGTCTATGGTATTAAGGGTGAGTAGGCTGACTTTAGCTTTACCATGCATTTTGCTGACCTATCACGCAGGACGGACTTTTCGAGAACATGTCTCACGACAACTTCCTCGCCGCCTTACGACCGAAGATCCAGGGTACCTGGAATCTACACAACTCGCTCCCAAGCGGAATGGACTTTTTCGTTCTCCTTTCCTCGACCGGTGGTGTTTTCGGTAGCCGTGGTCAAAGCAACTACGCAGCTGGCAGCACCTATCAAGATGCGTTCGCAAAGTATCGCGTATCCCTCGGAGAGAAATGCATTTCGCTCGATCTTGGTCTGATGCTCGCCGTTGGATTCGCCGCCGAAAGGCAACACATCACCGATTCACTGCGGACCGTAGGGTACGAAGGCATCCACGAAATCGAATTTCACGCAATGTTGGATCACTTCTGCAATCCAGATCTTCCACTCCAAGACCCAACCAAGGCGCAAATCGTCACTGGCGTTGCGACGCCGGCGTCGCTAGCCGCCAAGGGGCTCGGTGAAATCTTCTGGATGTCCAAGCCCATCTTCCAAAGCCTCCGTCAAATGGACCGACAGTTCTCTGTATCGAGGACTGTCAGGGAAGAGGGTGCAAATTACCGAGCACAAATCGAACAAGCAATGTCTCAACAAGGCGCCGGACACATTATCGCGCTCGCACTCGTAAGAAAGCTATCCGCAGCTCTTAACATGCCCATCGCCGATATTGAAGTGGAGAAGCCGGTATACGCGTATGGTGTTGATTCCTTGGTCGCAGTGGAGATTCGCTATTGGTTTTTGAAAGAGTTCAAGGCCCAGATCGCTGTGTTTGAGATTATTCGGAGCGAAAGCATTGAGAAACTGTGTCTTCTCGTCGCTTCCAAGACACAGTATCAGCAAAGATGGAACTAGAAAGGGGGAGGCGATGATGGCATAATGATCAAGTGTCGAGGTGGTTGGCATGGACGACGCGTTGGGCTTAGAGGTGTTAAAGGCTAGGCGTCGTCGCGTACATGCCACGCCCTGACATCCCAGATACCATCTCCAGTAATTAGACGTCTCTTATTCAAGAACCACTACATGCTGAGAACTGGAGTGACTAGAGAAGTAATGTACACATGGGGAAGCGCATGTTTGATGGTGCAGATGCCTGTCGCGGTTCAGTTCCGAATTCCGCTTATATAATCTATGGGCCCTGGGCTAGCGCTTCCCCGCCGCTGTCCTTGCGGATCAGCTACACTTTTCTAGCTTTCCCATCAACCACATGTTCTGCTAGTTCTAAGGGCCCTTGATACACTATTCTATCTGTATGAAAATCTTACACATTCATTGCGCGAGATGACATTTGTCAGGACATACCAGAAGTATAGCCTGCGTCCGGTGAGCCTTTTCAGCGTGTATACTGCTGACACGCATCGATGAACTGCCTTCTTAGGACCGACGTGTTTGCGTTCCATGCAACCGTAGACATGAAGCCGTTCTGCCGCTGGTCATTGCACCAGCTGAGAATAGCCGCAGCGCCGAAATTCAACTCCATCTTACGCCCTACTTTCCCGATCGCCAGTTCATTACTGGTACCACGTACACAGCCTTTTCGAAAATTCTCGGAACGATTACCTCCTGTTGGTATCATCCCGCACACAGGCAACTGAAGTCGAGTATCACACCCTCGCATACAAGTGGCCAAATCGCACTGCACTCGATCAGATCTACCAATTGCCCTTATTTCATTACTGAAAAGGGGATAGTTGGTGTTTAATGAAGGCTACGGAACTCAGAGGTCAGATGTACCTGGCATAAGGAACTTGCATATCTCTAATACATGGCCGATTAGACATGTAAAATCGGACAAAGCCATCTGGACGAATCTTAGACGAGCCGGACAATCTATCGGACGTACGTACCGCCGTACTTTGTGTTGTTCTCAACCCGTTTCTCTACGAAGACATGGGTGATTTTACCCGTCACACTGATCAATTGTGGACGGGCCGAGCATGTCACTCAACGGGACAGCTTACATCAGCCATATCCGACACTCCCGCACGTGCAACTCCAGTTGCAACCTGCCTTCGGGAACGTGAACTGTGCTCAAGTCGAACCAGACAGGACGACCTGTATAGGGAAACAAGGATGTATAGCACGTCCTGGTAATTTGACGAACAGTTGATTGCCACGCTAAAGAGATTTGCATACTGCAGTCATCCTGAAGGTACATGAAAGCCTTCGGCGATTCTGTCTGACAATTCTGCACATCGCCCATTTAAGCCACATTGAGCTGGGGCTGTACGAATACGCGCTGACACAATATCATGATCGACAAACGAACCAGCTTCCATTCAATCATTCTCGTTACCTTTGTCCTTTTCCCCCATCGCGATCGAAGTTTGGGAGAAGTGTACTTTGGCTCTGCCTTCAATCTTCTTCATGAATTGAAATTACAAGCTGAAACAATGACCCAGTTGGAATGAGAACGAAGCCGAAAGGATGCAGAGATACCACACCCGTGGATACAGCAAAATGACGCCTTTCAAGAAATGACTGCATATTGAAGTTCAACTACTGTTGAATAGGAGATATTGATGTGACACAGTTATGTGTCTGTGTATCGAGGGAATTGCCGTCTGAGCCACAGAGGGCCGCTCTGGTTGTCCTGGCACCCCTTACAAACTTACAGTAAGGTTTACTCGGTCGCTGTTCCGGCGCAGCCGATTAGTTCCCGACAGGGCTTCATGCCCGTGCCGATGCTTATACGGTGGTACCATATTGCGCGTCATTTTCGCATAGCTTGGCTTCCCCGCACCTCCGGAGACACCTTCTTTATCTGCCACCGCCACGCGCCTACGATTGGTACCGGTCTGCGTTGAAGAATTGTGAGTGAGCAACTACCGGCCCGCTACGCTGGGCAAGCTTACATGTCATGCCCGATACGGACACCAATGCGGCGCAGCGATCTCGCGTAATACCAGGCTTGGCAATGACGATGATGCCTTGTTTCAGTATACTATACCACCATGCGGGACCTTAGAATTGCCATACAGTATTACTAAGCCTATTTCTCCTTTATGATGATGCCGACGCCCTCCGGGGTAATTGTCAGTTAGCTCAGGGACATGCTTGCGATGCCTTTCTGCTAACCTTCATCTGCTATACCTATGTCGTCACGCCTGTCTTAAGAAAACCCTCACCGGTACTTACACAACCTGTTTCTTAGAATTTAAGATGTCCATGTGGGGCCTTCCATGAGGGAACACGCCCCAATAATACTTGGCGCAGCCCTCCCGGGAAGGCCGGTAGCGCTCACAATGAGCCTTCCCTGAGCCGTCAGCACTGTATTTTACAACAAGAGTGTGCCTTGAGCCCATGGAGGCCCATGAGGCTTGAACACGGAGCCTTGGCTACTCATCAGGCGGCTTTGCTCTCGGTACCAGCATGGATACCGCATCATTTCGTACCGTGTCTGCTGTAGTCAGCGTCATTTGCCCTTGCTATCGCTCCAAGGCTCTATGTTCGCCCGATATAAAAGGCCATTACACTTCCCCTGTTGTTCCTGGACACTTGTAGTCCACAGGTGCAGCCTGATCCGAGTTCAATATGCGGTCCTTTACCAAACAGACGTCTACTTGCCTATTGCTTTCGCTTTCCTCGCTATTCTCATTGACAACAGCAACGCCCCAGGCTGAGTTCAATGAGGAGTATGACTTCGTCATCGCGGGTGGTACGTTGGTCTTTCTCGTCATCATCACACCCCAGTTCTCCAGCTTTACCAGTCTTGTTTCATGATTCAAGTCCATAAATTAACAATATACAGGAGGAACAGCTGGTTTGGTTCTAGCGAATCGCCTGACGGAGTCCGGCAAGTTCACAGTACTCGTACTGGAAGCTGGACCCAGTCCCGAGCAAGTCCTCGCATACGAATCACCAGGAGGCAACCAGTTTCTCAAGGGCAGCTTGATCGAATGGGGCTTCACTACCACTCCGCAAGAGCACTTGGGCAACCGTACTCTACAGTACCTTCGTGGACGTGGTCTCGGTGGCTCTAGCGCGATCAACGGTCTCTACTACGCCCGAGGTTCAGCCAGTGTATATGACAGCTGGGTCGAGGCTGGAAACAACGGATGGGGCTGGAACGATATTTACCATTACTTCAAGAAGAGCACCAAGATCAACCCGCCAGCCTTGTCACCAGAGCTCTCTCAATTTACGATGAAGTACAAGACGTATGAACCCACTGCCTACGGAGACGGGCCCCTGCAGCTCAACTTCCAAGGCTATGTTGCACCTTCTACTGAAGCGTTCGTCGTTGCATGCTCTGAAGCTGCGAATATTCCTATCGTTCAAGATTTGAACCTTGGAAATAGTGAAGGTGTCAAGCACGGCACCATCACGATGGACGATAAACTCAGGAGAAGCTCGAGCTACGACAGTTTCTACAAGCAAGCTGCTAACCGGACCAATCTCAAAGTCCTGCACGACGCACCTGTTTCTGGACTTATCATGGACACTACAGGTAGCAAGCCTCGTGCTATCGGCGTCAACTACATTGAACAGCGTACCGCCTTGGTCAACCGAGTCCGAGCTCGCAAGGAAGTCATTGTCAGCTTGGGTGCTTTCCAATCACCCCAGCTACTCATTACCTCCGGCATTGGCCCCAAAGCAGAGCTTGAGAAGCACGCCATCACACCCGTTGTCATCAACGAGAATGTTGGTCAGCACCTCAACGACCACTCCGTCTTCAGCATCATGGCCCGGGTCCAAGACGGCGCCTCAACCACCGACATGTCGCGCAACGCCAGTAGCCTACGCGCCGCCCAGAATCTCTTCTACACCAACCTAACAGGTCAGTACACCGCGCCCTCGGGTGTAACCAACGGCTTCCAAAAGTTCTCTGAGCAACAACTCCGCGACATGAACGCAACTGCCGTCATCGATGCCGGTCTCACCAACCAAACGCACGTCGAGTACCTATTCGAGAGTGTGTGGTACCCGTGGATCCCAACACCATTCTATGCGCCCCGGGGTAACGAATCCTACATGTCCCTCACTGCATCCAGCATGGTGCAGCTCTCGCGCGGTTCAATCACACTACGCTCAGGCTCAATGTCAGACTTGCCCCTCGTCAACAGCAACTACTACGCCGACCCCACCGACGCCGCGATCGCTATTGAGTCCTTCAAGTACCTCCGTGCCATGCTGCGCCACCCGGCCCTGTCGCAATTCACCATCGGCCCCAACTCCGGCGAAGTCAGCCCCGGCCCTGCCGTCGCGGACGATGACCACGAGGCTATCCTCAAGTACGTCAAGGCAAACACTATCCCTAACTGGCACGCTACTGGCACCGTTCGCATGTTGCCAGAGGACAAGGGTGGTGTGGTAGACGAGAGGTTGAGGGTCTATGGTGTTGATGGCTTGAGGGTTATTGACTGCAGTATCGTTCCTATTCTGCCTGATGCCAACATCTTGGCAAGTATCTACATGGTTGCTGAGAAGGGTGCGGATATGGTGAGAGAGGACAACGGAGATGAGAGGACCTATTAGAAGTTAGAAGTTTGATTTTTCTGCTGGATAAGCTTGGGATTGGAGGAACTTAACTGGTATTAAGCAAAGGAGGTTGTTGTTTAATGTGTAGTTGAATTCAATTCGATATTTACTTCTATCATAATGTTTGCCATCCCAGAAGGCATGCAGATCGATACTGATGAGTGAGTGTATAGCTGCAAAAATTGCGATTTTGCTTTCTTGGTTAGATCCTTGTCTACGATTCTGTTCTTTGCTCTTCGGTAGTTGTACGTGACAGGTTGGTTGCTCAAACGCCACTGCAGCTTGCTTGCACTTCACTTTACAATCATAACTCTCCAGCTTCAGACAACATTAAACGCAACGTTTCTATACTCCATCCATCATCGCCCCCACCACCCTCCTACCACCTATGATCACATCACCTCACACGTCCGCAACATCATAGCTAATCCGACTAACCCCCTTACTCCTCTTAACCCCCTTCACCACCACCCTAGCTAACTCCCCCAATCTCTCCACATGCGTCCCCCCACACGGATAGCTCCCCTTACCCCCCATCTCCACAACCCTAACACCCATCTCATCCCCTTTCAACTCGGCCCCATCGCCAACACCGTAGCACTCGCGCCTCGCCCTGTCTTCATCCCAGAAGAAGATGCTGACAGGGAGGTCCTGCGCGACCATTTCGTCGACGGTGGATTGGATGGTAGGTGCCAGGGTGGACGGGATGGAGCCTGTGAAAGTTACGTAGGCGGCATTGGGATAGTGGCTTGCTTTGCTGTCTGCGATTGTGTTGGGGAGGTCGCCGCGTTGGATTAGCGTATTTACGGCGAGGCCGATTACGTGGCCGGCTGTGTGGAGGCGGGAGTGCAGGGTGCGGAGGGGGATGTTGATGGCTTGGCGGAGGTGGGTTGGGGGTGTGAATGGTGAGGAGGAAGGGAAGAAGCCCATGTGGAGGATTGCGCCGGTGGGGAGAGAGCGGACTTGGCTGACGGTGAAGGTCGTTTCTTTTGCTTTGTCTCCGCTTTCTGGGGGTGTTGTAGCTGTGGTCATGGTTCCTGTGTCTGATGGTTGTCCGCCACCTTGGGCGTGGAAAATCGTTTCCGAGACGGTGAGTACATGCGGTTCCGGCGCGTTTTGTGCTTCTTGTCCTGCTTCTCCGTCTTTTCCTTGTGAAGCGGGCGACGCTGGTTTGAATAGCGCTCGGGTCTCTTCAGGGAGAGAGGATAGTGGCTGTACGGAGACTAAACTAGTCTTGTGTTCGTACAGTTGACCTTGAGTTTGGTAGAGCGGTATCGTCCTGTGGGCGAGGGGGTCGGCGGGTTCTGACATTGTTGCCGTTGGTGGTGGGGTGGCACAGCGAAGAACTTGGGTAGTGCGATATAAACAAGTGTTCTTCCTCGTACTGCTGATACCAAAAGACTTGTTGGCGAGTCGGACAGTGATACGTATAGCTATCGTGACGTTGTTGTGGAGCAATGGAGAAAGAGATGGTCGCAGATGCGATGGTTCAGAACAGCTACTTGTGCCGAAGAAAATACTGGACTTTGCCGCTTTGTACGTATGTCAAGAAGGAAACCCTTTTAAATAACAGCTATATTCAGCTTCCTTCCGAAGAACACAGCTTTCCTATATAGAGTCCAAATCATGTGGGGATAGCATTGATGAGGTAATCCTACACGCCCTTTAGAAGATCGCAAGTACATACGCTATACCGCTTTAGGAAGGTACATAACAAAATGTAAGGTCTTGACGTAGTTTTGCCGCTCGCTTAGCATTCCTTCCTTACACATTGCAGAAACCAAGCTTGGAGAAATTGTAAATGTAGGATTTGCTGTTCTACCTACGAAATCATCGGAACAGCGAGCTTTGCGTTAACTGCTGTGAAAGCTTTTATCCGACCTCTTCATCCTTCTTGGGCTTCGAACGATGATAATTAGTCACAGAATCATAGTAGAGGCGATGATCGAGAAAGGTCTTACTTGTAACAACTTCAATGTATTGAAAGCGGCAGTAGATAACCAAAAGCATGTTGCTGAGTGATTACAAAGATAAAAGCTATGATAAAAATGAAAACGCTTGCGATAGACTTTGCTTTTGTAGCTCAAACGCCAAACTAAACAAAAAGAAGATGCCCAACAACTAATGACCAACTGGCTGAGAAACCCATCTAGATCATCTATAGTGCTCAACGCTTTCCTTCCCGCGATGTAAACATGAAACAAAAAGAGAAATTGCCTGCCGAAGATGATGACTTTCTATCAAGGAAAAGCGCACAAGCCAACCCTGGGTATCTTTCTTTCCCTTTCCCTAATGATGCCTTTTTTCAACAACGACAAACTTAAGCGTACTTCTCAATCATAGCGAGAGCACCCTCACGCTCCAAGCCCTCCAAAGCGGTCTTCAGCTCTTGAACGAAGCGCTTGTCCTGGCGGAGGTCGTCACCAAAGAGGTTCTTGATCTGGAGCTGGGCAATGGGGCCCTCGGCGGCCTTGGCCTGGAGTTCCTCAACCATGGGGTCGTCGACCTTGAAGGCGTTGCCCGCATCGTCGATACCCTTGTTGTAGCGGAACCATGCAGCGGCGACGAGAGTCAGGCGGCGGAGAGGTCCACCAGCGATGATCTGCTCGGCAATGCTGGGCATGATGAACTGGGGGATCTTGCCGCTGCCGCCGAGGCAGATACGTGGGAGCTCATCCTTGAGGGTGGGGTTGGAGAAGCGACCGAGAAGGGTGTTGCAGTAGTCGTCGACGCTGACACCGGGGATCTGGGGGAGAAGGGGCTTGACCTCCTGCTGCATCATGTTGATGACGAACTGGCGGTAGACGGGGTGGCTGATGACCTCGTGGATGTAGGTGAAGCCAGCGAGCTGACCAGCGTAACCCATGGCAGAGTGGCTGCCGTTGAGGAGACGAAGCTTAATCATCTCGTACTCCTCGACCTGGTGGACGTCGGGAACGATCTGGACACCGGCCTTCTCGAAAGGAGGGCGGCCATCGACGAACTTGTCCTCGAGCACCCACTGGTGGAAGGGCTCGGTGACGACTGGCCATGCGTCCTCAACACCAAAGTTCTTGGCTAGGCTGACCTTGTCCTCGTCGTTGGTACGGGGAGTGATACGGTCGACCATGCTGTTGGGGAAAGCACCGTTGCTGGCGATCCAGTCGGCGACCTCGTTGTTTCCGGCGTGGCGGGCAAACGAAACAAGCATGTTGCGGCTGATGTCACCGTTCTTCTGCATGTTGTCGCAGGAGAGGACGGTGAAGGGGCGGAGACCAGCTGCGTGGCGCCTGGCCATGGCGGCATAGAGGTAACCGAAGACGGTGCGTGCGGGCTGCTCACCAGCAAGGTCGGCGGCAACGTCTGGGTGGTCGATCTGGAGCTCGTGGGTGTTTTCGTTCATGTAGTAACCGCTCTCGGTGACAGTCATGGAAACGATGTGGGTGTCGGGGTGGGCCATCTTGGCGATAACAGCCTCGGCGCTGTCAGGAGCAAAGAGGTAGTCGGTGATACTGCCAATGACGCGGGCGCTGGTACCGTCTGCGGCACGCTCGATCATGGTGTAGAGGTTGTCTTGGGGCTTGAGAGCATCGCGCATAGGAGCGGCGAATGGCTGGAGGTCAACACCACAGATGGACCAGTCCTGGACGTTGAACTGTTCGAGGAGGGTGTCGACATAAGCTGCAAGATGGGCGCGGTGGAAACCACCAACACCAACGTGGACGATACCCTGCTTGACGCCGTGCCTCTTGTAGGTAGGGACAGAGACATTCTGGAGCGAGGACAGGTTCTTGCTGTTGAGCTTCAAAGTAGCGGCAGGTGCTGCCTTGCGTGACTGTGTAGGAACAAACTTCTCCTCCTTTCGGGGAACAAAGCCCCTGGGTGGTGCTTGGTAGACGTCTGAGGGTGTCTGGCGGACAGCCTCTGTGCTCTGGAACCTGCAGCTGATGGCAGCAGGGCGACGATGGGCTGGCCGTGTCGACTGGAAGACAGCTCGAGCGCGAGCGGCGCGGAGGAGGTTCCTGGCGACTTGAGGAGGCATTGTGTAAGTGTGAATGGATAAAGGTATGTTGGTATAGAGGGAAATGGGAGAATGAGCAGAGGACAAGACGGGATGTTCAAACATTTATAACCAGACTGCTCAGTCCTTTTTGTGGGCACAATGGTAGGGCCTTGAGCATGTTGCCCCAAAAAAAGACCATAGCGTTAGGGCCCCTTTTTTTTTCAGAGGGTCTAGACATGGTGGATTATGAGTCGCAGACGGAGGCTGATAGCCTGTGCTTTGGGAAACGTGGGTGGGCGAAAGGAGGCTGCGGCTTGCATTGTGTTGTGTATGTCGCGGGCTGGTGGTGCGTGCCGTTGGCCCAAACTCACAAACTGTGCAGGAACGATTCGGCGGCTTGGGACGACGCCAGAATCAAACTTTTGCTTTGACGCGTCGTGGAGAAGATGACCCGATTTTTAGACTGGATAAGGGTTTCAGACTTTGCACTCCCGCTTCCGCCGCTTGGATCTGGGAGCCACAATTACGCCGTAATGCAGCTGCTGGCCGGCGACTTTGTGCGGATTGCACAATTATGGCGTGCTGGCTCAGGTAGGTTCGCACGCCAGCGGCCAAAGACAGCTGCCCAGATGAAATCGCATCTGTGTGGCTTTCACCGTTCACCGCTGAGTCGCGTGGGGGTGGGGGTACCGCCAGGAACACCGACGGCTCGGCTGGGCCGCCGACAACGACGGTGACGGACTCCTCTGGACTCTTTTGCTGACCGGACCTAGTTGGCAAGTCTCACGGCGATTGACCGTATTTTCATCTCTCTTGGCTTAATGCATCCGCGAGCGCTGTGGCGACTGGGCGACCGGTGTGTTCCTCAGGATCGCTATCTATGCACCCGGGGTACCTAGGTACATCTTAGCCTGGGTCTGCATCTGTCCAACACGAATAGCATCGTGAAGCATCTCCAGGATGACAATCTGTTGAGGCAATGGGAATGCTGGCTGCATCTGCTGGCGTCTTCTCAACTTCGTCATACCTCTTCTGACTCGTTCACCGACTTGTGCCTACCAGCCAGTCCTGTACAAGATACAAGTCCCGACGATCTCAAACGGCCACCAAAAGGATCTGCGCTGTGCAGCTTGAGCCTCATGCGACCGCACCGGTACCGGCACATCATCCCCGCGAAAGGTAGCCTTGCAGTCCAGTCCGTCGTCCGCAATGCGCTGTCCACCGCTGCCGCTGTCCAACAGCTATCAGATCGACTGATGCTTCTGCAGTCGCGTCGAGCTTCCAAGCCCTATGCAGTATGCCGCATGGCACTCCAAAAAAGCCGAACAAGTCTCAAGATAGCTCCAGGTCAACAACGACCACCCATGTCACTTTGTTCTTTCCGCCGTCGCATCTCCACCAATGTCCGCCCCGACAGCAGCGGAAACACGAGCGGTTATACTCGTTTCGCACAACCCGAAGGAACAAGAGGCGCAATCTGTATCTCGCTAGTCCTAGTCCTGCCGTCCTCCTTCTCGAACCGCGCAAGTCTTGCAGTAGACGTTGCGAGGGTGTGGGTGGCGAAGAAACTTGAACGATAGATAAGCTTCCGAAACAGAAGCGAAGTATTCCCACGTCTGCGGTCGCGAGGGGGCCTGACCTTGTTCCACGCCGCCGCCGCCTTGCCCAGGCCCCTTCTGCCCTACCAATCCACCCTACCCTGCTGCCCTGCGACTCTTGGGCGTGGTCCACATGCCGCACGCAATCTATCGAACGCGCACGCCCTTAGAAGCTTCCGGATGCCTTTGTTAGCGCATTCCGCTGCACGTGTAGGCTCTCCTGCCGCAGAAAGGTCTCTGACCCTCTGGAGAAAAGGATACGTACCCTCACGATGCAGTGCATACCCGGGGTCGCAATCAAAATAGAGCCGCTGCCAGTCGTGCACGGAGCTGGAGAGATGGTGCACCTGACCTCTTGACATGTGCACCTCATCTCCTCCTTTTACCCCGGTGTCCACGCGTGCAGACAGAGAATGCTGTTACCCCGGCCTTCAGCAAGGTACTCCGTACTTCGTAGCTGTTGTTTCCCCGTAAGGGCCGCCCCTTCACTTTGTCTGCTTTGACACGACCCGAGAAAAGCTTGGAAGCTTTGTGCGTGTGTCAGCATCAGCATTACAACAGAGTCTGTGTACATGTTTTTTGAAACTGCAAAGCCAGAGCCAAGCCAAGACACCCAGCCTACGCACTCGCAACCGCTGAAGCTCTTTCTTTGCACAGCCAGGCCTTTCAATAAACACACTGCGCACATCCCTACTAGCTACCGTTTGGGTACCTATCGAGAGAGAGAGAAAAGAAGCAATCCCTTGTTGTCACAAACATGACCAGCTCATCCCATCCCAACGTAACCAAACCCCACTTCACAAAAGTAAAGAAATTACATTCTCTTCAGACTGGATTTTCTCATGGTGTTTTCGCCTCCCATGACATCAATCCCCATCTGTCACACAGTGGCGGTGGGGTTGGCTTCAGGGACTTCAGGGCCGGAGTGGGACTGCTTGCTCCGCTCGATCCGTAAACGCACAGCAAGGTAAGCGAAGGGAAGCAAGCAGCACGCCACTGTGCATCTGCCCCGAGCTGCGAGCGAGCGAAAAAACTAGACGGCGGACGTGCTTGGCCCGTGCGCCTTCCCCCCTACCTGCTGCCAAAACCACGCCCATGCTCACGCCCATGTCCATGCGAAATTCTCCGCGGGGGCGACCAAGCCCGCACCGGCACCGCACCGTCAAACCCGCGCCATACATACACATAAACTTGACTACTGTACCTACTCGAGCCAAGCTACTCTTTCATTCCGCCAAGCAGGACATGTAACCAAGCCGACGCTGAGACACAACCGTTCGCCCAGCCCAACTTGATACACCACTTTCTCCCCCCCCCACGGTACTTTAGCTTTTAAGGTTTAGGACTTGGCTTTGGTTTTAGCTGCTGCTGTTACAACGGACGTATCCATAGGTAGCGTGTGTTATCGAAACGTGGTGCTTGGCTGCCAGACAGGTAGGGCTATACAGTATCTCTGGTGCCATATCCAGTACACAGACGCTCGCGCACGCTTAGGGTCATCGTTCGATCTATGTAATCTGATGGTTAGATAGTCTATCTACTTACCTAGCCGGTCAAGTTCAACCCCCGTATCACAACCGCCCACGTAGACTCCCGCGGTCCCGCGGTTTCCTTTTCCCAATTACTGCTTCTGCTCGCTATCCTCCGTCTCCGTCTCCGTCTCCGGTTTCCGTTTTACAAGTTTCCGTCATACAGCGTTTCCGTCATGTAGCCGTCTCACATGTCACATGTACCTCGCCTCGCGTGCTCTCCCTCTTTCGGGAAGCGAGCATGACTAATAGGGGCGGGGGGAAACACGGGCAATTGTATAGCAATCTGGGATTAAAACGAGAAGCGAAAGCTTGCGAAATGAATGTGTGTTATTAAAAGCTCTGGAGTATGTGAATTTTTATTTTGCGTGTCCACCTGATGCGTGGTGCATGTCACATGTCCTGCGATCATAGGGGTGAGGGGGGAAAGGAGGCTTACTTATTTGCTCTCACGTGGACATTTTGGCCGAAGAGACAACATCGTTCGATAAGATAAGACAAGGTAATGCAAGGTATCGTGAAAAAAGGGGCTAAACACGTGTTGCTGCTGCTGCTGCTGCTGCTGTTACATGTGTCGGAGAATAAGAGAAGATGACAGTATGAGTTGTGCGTGCAGGAGGTGTGGCCTAGTCAAGTTCACCCAATACCCGTACCTGCACACGCAACTCGCACCTTGACTTTCTTTTCTCACTACTCAACTTAGCTTCATCGAACTTGAAAATGGTAGTAGATTCCGCTTCTCGTTGTATCGGGTTTCCGTCATATTAAAACTCGCACCGCTTTTTTGTCCACCTGGTATCATATCTTCCAAAAACACCGTAAAGCCAGTGTTGTTTCCTTTCCTTCTTTCTGCTTCTTCCCCCACTAGCTGCTCCCACGCGCGACCACGTCAATTGCTCAACGAGGCTTGGGGATATCTACCCGCTTCTTAGCTTAGGTATCCCGCCAAAGCCTGCTTAGATGTGTCGTCAAGGCGCTCCTGCACAATCTTGACGATGCGACCACTGTGCCGCGTGTCTGCATCCTTCAGATATTGTCCAACCCACTGCTTCACATCTCCAATTTCTGGGAACGGATCGCGAGGCGCCTTCTTGCAAGTGTTGAGCTGTGTAAAGCCAACGCCAAAGCCAAGCTCATCCACATCCGCGTCGGGAATGATGTCATCTGCTGCAGTCGGCACCGGTGGGTTGACGAGTAGCTCAATCAACCGTTGCGTCGTGAGCGTCCAGCCCTTGGGGTATCGATCGACGAACGCTTGTGAATCGCCAAGTGTCTTAGTAAAGGACACTACCGCCGTCTTTCGGTCAACGGGGCGAGCAAGTTTCTGCGTGTCGGGTAGGATAACGGTCAAGTAGATTGGTTTGAAAATGCTAGTAGACGTTAGTGCTATGCTCTGTATTCAACAAATAGATAGTGACTTACTCGTGCTGGATTTGGTCCGTGACGCTAATGAAGAAGTCCGTACCCAGTCCCTTGTCCAGTCGTGCAGAGACAAAATGGTAGAAGGAAATGAACCGCTGCTGGAAATTCTCCGTCTTCATGTTGGACAGCCTCGTAAGCATCAACTGAAGAATTGTGACAAAGTACGGTTGTAGCGCATCAGCGGGAATGTTTGACACGACAGATTCGATGAGTTCGAACGAGTATGTTTCATGGGCCTTGCTAGTGACCAGCTTCTGGAAGATACCGAGAATGGGCTCCAGCTGCGTCTGTGCGACAATGTGCTGTGCGTCACGAGCGACCATTGCACTCAGCAGACGGGCCAATGCAGGTACGTTACCACGCTGCTCCCAGACCGCACCTTGAATGATGATGGTGAACAGACTCCTGTAGTACTCACTCAGCTCTCCGGAGGGGTTTGCTTCTAGCAGTGCTGAGAAGAGTTGGAATATGTATGGAGAGAACTCCTCAACCTGGGCTAGCAAGCATGCCGCAAATGGCTCATACAGCTTCTCCTCAAAGAACTGAGGGTGTTTGGGCGCACCGAATCGGACGAGAGCGCCAATGCCCTCGAACAAGTAGTACTGGAACCTGGGGTTGCTAGGGTTGTGTCTGATGACCTTGACGATGTTGATGAAGTTTTGCAGCACAGTCTCGCATATCGGTAGGATACCGTCGCGGACGAAGATCAGCACACGCATGACACACTTCATCAAGAACTCGTTCTCTTGGATCTTTTCTGGGGCGGAGTTCTTGGTGATGAGCTTGAACAGATGCGCCAGGAGGTCTTTGGATGAATTGACAACATCACCCCTGGGAATGATAGGTTGTCGGTTGCTGTCCGTCATAAATAGAGCACGCTCGACAGCGATGGCGGCGTAAGTGTGGATGACGTAGTTGTCGTCTCCGAGCTGGTTAACGAGCAGAGGGAACGCTGCCCGCCAAAGGTCTGGTGATAGTTGGCTGCGGAAGACGTAGAGAAACTTGATGGCATCGACCTTAAGGATTGGCGATGCGCCTTGAGCCTGCAGGTCAGCTGCAATGTGTTGCTGGAAGAAATCCAGGATGTTGACATTCTCGTTTACACTCATGACACCTTGACCAGCAGTGGCAGTTCCCTTTGCGGCGATGGCAGTGAAGAGGTAGACTGCAGTGTCTTTTGACTTCCAGTTGTTGGCTGCATCCTTGGCATAGTTCTCGAGGTAGGCGTCGATGTATCTCTTTGATGTGGCTGTGACGAGTGATTCGAAACGAGACATGAGTTGACGCAGGAAGTTTGTAGCCGCGCGTCGGCGGGTGTCATTGTCGGATCCCTCTAGATCTCGGCGGATAAACTCAATAGGCTCGTCCTCGAATAGCTCCACGTCAGATTCGCGCAATGTCAGGTTCGGCAGGATGACCTTTTCAATGACCTGTACCAATACGTCTTGGTTGTTGAAAGCTTCGGCATGCTGTGTGGAGGCGACAGCTGTGAGGAACTGTAGGGCCTTGCTGACTAGGATGTCGTACTTTGTCTCCAGTCCAACCGACATGAGGAAGCCCCATGTGGTTTCAATAAACTGACCAAGTTGTGAGCCAAAAACGTCCTCATACTTCTGTATGTACAGCATAAGCGCCTCGAAGATGCCAGCGCGCACATATTCTTGTGGGCCTGACTCGGTGTCGTCGTCGGTACGCAGTGCGGCGTTGTCGAATACGAGGTATTTGTGGAGGAGGCCTGAGATGACGCTAATGTGGTCTTCAAAGACGGGCGGTAGATCCTGGCAGGAAAGATCGTAGAATAGCTTGAGAAGCAAGTCTAGGGTGGTGAAGGCGCCCTTGAGTCTTTCGGGGTCGCCCTGCGAGTTTGTAATGAGGGTGTCGGTGTTTTCGAGCAATTGGAGGAAGGGAGTGCCGAACTTGGACAGGACGTGGTTGATCTCAGTGAAGAGGTCGTCGGACCGGAACAGTGGCCGCCACCGCTTGAAGATGGAATGTGCGACCTGCAGTACACCATTGTTTACTACTATGTTGTCTGGTGTGAGGCGCGAGATGAGGTCGTCGACCAAGGTATCCCATCGCTCCCAGAAGTCGCTGTCGGCAATGGCGCTAATGGCCTCGCCGAGTTGCGCCTGTAGGTTTGCAGGGACCGAGACCATGAGGCCTATCAGCTCTCTCTTGATTGCCACAACCTCATCCTGTGGTAGCTTGTAGTTGCCATCTTCGTCGACCCAATTCCGCTTTACAAAGTTCTTGAAGTACAGCGCGGCGGCCAGTCGTGTGTTGGGGGGATTGGCGTCCGAGGCTACAATCTGAAGGAGGGTGAGAGAGAAGCCTGGCTTGATCTGCTCCTGAGCAATGGCTGCCTCGGCTGCGAAAAGTTAGCATGGCGTGCTGCAGAAAGTGAGTGGCATGTTAGAGGGGCAAATATGCGACCATGGTGGTTCTCAACATGACGCGCACAACGGGGGCTACGTAGGACGAGCACCGTGTATACCCCCTCAAGACGCGAATACATGCGCCCTCTGCCGTAACGAGACTTGTCAGGTGCACTACAGGTAGCACTATGGGAAAGAAAGTTAAAGTTACTGACCCTGCTTGTTCTGGCGCGGGTCCAGACTAGCGTTGAGCAGGCCGGAGAGGGTAGCGATATCGGTGGCCATGATGAAAAGAGCGAAGCCAGGGCACGAGTTGATTGGGGGGAGGGGGAGAATAGGGGAGGGGAAAAGAGCAACAAATGTTTTGGCGGATGGTTGCTGTTTGTCTACGCTAGTGGGGCTCGGAGCTTGCAGCTGGCAGCTTTGTTTAGGTAGGCGTAGGCGTAGGCGTGTGGCAGGGGTCTTGTACCCCAGACGTTGATTTTCATGTACAGCCGATTCAAGATACGACGAGATGCTGGCCTACCTTCTTTCCGCCAGTACGCCACCACCCCGACTCTTCCCCCCCAGGCGCCCCCTCCCGCGACCGATTGCGACAGCAAATGGGCTCCTATAGCCCCGCTCCCAAGCCTATCCGTTCGCCCAGCCTCCATGGTAGACTCGATCGCCTCGCCACCTTGTATAGCTTTCTCTCTTCCCACCTGGCCGCTGTCTGCGGTACCACCAACACCACCACCAACCACCACGGCCGTCTGCACCTCGACGAACCCCCTGACCTTCACCGCGACACCGGAGACGCATGTCTCCGCCGTCCGACCATGTTCCCCACCAGGCCCGACCGCCGCTCCTCCACCCCAGGCAATTCTTCACAGCCTTTCGCTCCCTGACGGGCGGGCGTCTGAAGAGCCCCACGCCGCCGCCCTCTGTTTCCTCTGCCACGTCTACGCCTGCGCGCACCCCGTCGCTGAGTACGCTGCGTGCTGGCTCTACCCCGAGCCCGCACTCAGCCGACGCTACCCTCCAGCGCATCAGCCAGGTCACAGGCCAGCATCGCATGGCAAGGCCAGTGACGGGTGGCCCGCCAGAACTAGACGACCTCAGCGTCCAGCTTGAGCGCAGCCGGCCGTTTCCAGAGCGCGCGGCAGCCGTGGATAAGATATGTGTCATTCTCGACGAATATCCCGTGCAGAATGTGCTGGCGCTGTGGTCAGTAGCGAGCGACCTGCTCCTTCCCGAGCAGCCAGACGAGGTGGCCGAGGTGGGGTACAAGCTCCTCATAAGTTGTGCGTCACTGTCGAACCTGGCCAGCATCGAGCGCACCGTCTTCTTCGATGCTGCGTGTTTGCGCAAGAACGACCGCTTCTTCGACAAGAGACTGCAGGTCGTCACTACCCTCACCAACCATGGGCGGGACATTGAGTCGTGCGAGTCGGGCATGGTATCCTTTATACTGACCTCCTTGGACATGTGCTTCCCCGCGAGTCGAGATGCCTTGAACAAGGCCAAAGGAAACAGCAAGAGGAGCCTTTCCTCTCTTCCCCCTGAGGTCGCCAACATGTTTTTCGCCTTCCAATATACCATCGATATCTGCAAATTCAACGCAAAAGTCTTCACAAATGACGATTTGGACCTCTTGCTGAGGCGCACAGTTGCCATTTGCAAGGCGACAAGTTACAGGCCTGATTTGGAAAGTGGCATAAAGCTCTTCGACACCATCATCACCTATGTCCATGTGCCCACAAAGTCCCTTCGCCACTGCCTCGAAGTTTTGTGCGAGATCCACATGCGCATCGCTGAAGTTCGGAGCCAGGCGTGGAATACTCTGAGCAACCTTTTCAAGTCTCATGTTGGTCAGGCCGCCCTATCTGAACTGTTGCATATTCTCCTGGATCCCCCTAGCCGAGAGATTCGAGAGGACCCAAAGGCTGGGAAAAGGCTTGCCACCATGTACATAGGTACGACCATGGTGCTCCGCCTTCTCCTAATAGATGATGGCCGCAACGAGCTGCCCAAGGTCCCCATGTCCCTGCTCTTTCCCGCACTCAAGGCGTCCATCAGGGTGCCCAGTAGTGCACAAGAGAAGACAGTCATCGAGCTATTGGACACAATCTTGTCCCAAGAAAGTCTGAGGGACCTCCTTCTTGCTGAGAGTGACTTGGGAGACATGCTGGAAATCATCCGCCTTTGTGCTGAGCGTGATGACGACCGTGCCCGCCCCAAGAGGACCAAATCCACAGACAGTTCCAACACCGTGGAGAAGAATACTATTTCAAGGCAGTCGTCCCCTCATGAAGACAGCTCGACGAACAATCGTCGTGTTGAACAAGATGACATTGCGCCACACGCCGATTATCCCCTGTTGTACCAAGAGCCTCATCGACGTGATCCGACGAATGGCATATTCCGGATACTAGTCAAATTAGACCACCTAAGCGACGCTCTCGATTTCGTTCAACGAGAGGCTACCATGGAACTCTTCCTCCATCTCTCACATAGCGTGAGCGATGCAACCGCAGAAAGGGCCATAGATTACTTTGCAAAGGAACGCTATCTCAACCCGTCGAACAGCGATTGGCTGGACCTTTGCCGTCGTCTAGTTGCTGGTATATTCAACGACACTACAAGACCGCGCTCGCTCCGAATTCGGGTCGTCCAAGTATTGCGGGAAACGTACGTTGCCGTAGAGTTACTGTGCGCGAGCGAAGTCGTCTTGCAATGCGAAGAACTTCTTCTCACACCCATTGAGTCTGAAGACGATATTGAAGTCCTACAAGAGCTTTTAGACTTTGCAACGGATGTTGCTGATCAAGCAAAAGCCGCTAGGTTTTCAGATATCATTCTCGTCTTGAAACGCCGCCTAGACCGGCAGCAGTCTATAAACACATCTGCGTTACCTCCATGGCAATCTCCCTCATTACATACCAGGGATGATGGTCATTTTCCATGTAACGTAATCGCCATTGCTTTTGTGCGGTTATTCACTCGAAGCGTTACGCATTCGGCGCGGAAGACACGCATTCTGTACGAAGCGTTGCGCGACGTTGCTGGAAGTGACAAGTACCCACATGATGCGCGGCTGACTGCCCTCAAGCTATTGTTCCGTTTGCGCGCCGACGCTCGCCATGCCCTCATTGTCAGTTCCTCCTCGGAAGGTCAGAGGATTGCTGCAGAGCTTTGTCGCACAGTGGAGACAGCAGTTGCACCCGAGAGAAATGAGGAGAACGTAATGTTCGATCAGGTGAGGTTTGAAGATGCATCCTCGTGGCGCGATAATCGTAAAACCTCTGGTTCCAGCCCTCATTCTTCTCTTAACCGGCACACAGGTCGCTCCACTGCTTCATTGGGTCGCGTGTCAAAGCCAATACCTCCACTATGGATGTACCCTGGTCCCAAAGGCCTGCCAGAAGAGCCCTCATCAGAATCTAGTCGGGTGGTATTCTCACATATTGATGCAGCCAAGTACCCCCTTAGTGATGATGTTTTGGACATGGAAATCACACTTTGGCTCGAGTTGATCATCTCTTTGCTCCAGAGACCACCTGATTGGGAGATTTACAGTTACGTGCTTGTTCATCTTGGTCCTCAGCTATCGAACCAAGCATTGGTTCGCAGTTGTGTTGTTCAGCTCCGAATGCTGAGAAACGTTCTATGTGAACAAGTGCGGAATGCGAGCTTCCACGAACCTCCGCCGCACACGCTTCTGAAGAAGGCAGATGTTGCCGTCTGCCTATTCCATACCTTGACTGTCATCATCAGTTACCACGAGTATTTTGAGAAGAGCGAGGAAGACGACCTCGTCAAAGCATTCCTACAAGGTATTGTGCAATGGGATCGAACGTCAAAGTGGTGCATTCATGCGCTATCCGTTTGTTGTTTTGAAATCCCACTCTCGGTCAGCAAGTCGCTTGATACCATTGTCCAGAAGATGTCGCAGATCATCACGAAGCCAGCCACAGCGATACACATCTTGGAATTCCTGACCTCCATGGCACGCCTTCCAGAACTCTTCAAAAACTTCCGCGAAGATGAATTTAAGCTGGTATTTGGAGTGTGTTTCAGATATCTGCAACACATACGTGACCAGCAGGACCGATCCGCACACGGAAACATGCTACAGAACGGTCATCGAACCCTGCGACACAGTGGTCCATCTAGGGACTTTACAGCATCTTCAGACCCAAGAGCAGCAAAAATAGCAAGTGTCGAAGATGATCAGTCTGAGTATCTGAATTCTTTGGCCTACCACGTGATCACCTTCTGGTTTATGGCCCTGAAGATGGAAGACCGCCCAAAGCAGATACCATGGATCACTAGAAACCTGTATCATACCGACAGTTCTGGGAAACAAGTCATGGAAGAACAGGGACAGGTCATTCTGGACATTATGAACATGGTCGCGTATACAGATCGTGATGAGACAACACGCGACGAGGTCTTTGCTAAGCCCGGTGATGGCGAAGTTTGGAAAAAGACTTGGATCGTAGGCAACGCGCTCGTGACAATAGAGACGGCTGCAAGAACTGGCGCATCCCTTATAACCACTCGTCGACCAGTAAGTCCTGTATGATTGCGCATCATTTACGATTACTTACTCTTGACAGTGTGGCACCCGCTTTATTAAAGTACGACCCTTGCTTACGTCTCCACCGCGACACCAGATGCCCATCACCATTGGCCTCGCTTCGGAAGCGTTTTATTCCGATACATACGTTGGCATTCTACCAGACGACATCTTCCAGTCTTTCTATGCACCTCTTGGTCTGAGCAATCCACCTATACCCCTGCCTGAAGATGAGCCGACACGCCGTGCGATTGCTACATTCGACCGGATTGCAACAGTCGACAACTACAAAGTAGGCGTCATATACATTGGCGAAGGTCAGACCAATGAAAGGGAGATTTTCATGAATGATATGGGATCTCCAGCATATACTTCGTTTATCAGCGACCTTGGCACACTTTGCCGACTCAAGGGCGCCAAGTTCAACACTGGCGGCCTAGATACGCGCGAAGACATGGACGGCGAGTTCACATATTGTTGGCGCGATCGCTGCATGGAGCTCGTTTTCCACATTCCTACTATGATGCCAACGAACCGCGAAGACGACATGACGTATGCCAACAAAAAGCGCCATATCGGCAACGACTTTGTTAACATCATATTCAATGACTCTGGTCTACCTTACAATTTCGACACGTTTCCTTCACAATTCAACTATGTACATATTGTCATCACACCTGAGTCACGGGCCAGTTTTGTCGATCGTCGGCTAGACACAGATCCAACTGGTAGGAATCGCTACTACAAAGTCCAGGCCATCTCCAAGCCTGGATTTCCAGACATATCGCCAGCAGTCGAAACCAAGATCATCTGCGGAAAGTACCTTGCCGACTACTGCCGTCTTATCGCCATCAACGCAGTCGTCTTTTCCAGCGTATGGTTCATCCGCGCCGGAGGCGAATCCTCCTCCTCATGGCGCAACCGTCTCCGAGAGATCAAGCGTCTCCGAGAACGCTACGGCGCAAATGACGCTCAGCCAAGCCATCCACCCCCAGCATCACCAGCTGGGAGCCAAGGCCTGTCCAGTCCGCCCTCTCGGGAACAAAATCTCGTCTCGCCCTTCCAACGCATGAGTATTGCTACCCACATCACTGACGGCACGAGTCGGAGCTCCATTAGCAGCTCTTCACACGACGTATGAAATTATGTGGCCTTTAGACTCACCGCACATATTATGTGGCTTCCTGGTAAAATCGCAGTTAGGCCTCTTCCATGTGTATATAGATACCCCAAAGGTTTTCTTGTTTTCTTGGTTTTTGTTTGTTTGTTTGAGTAACGTGTTATATAAAAAAAGTTGACTGCTTTTTCTCTTCGTTCTTGTCCTGATTTCTCTCGACTCAATCGAACATGAATTGGTGGGGTATAGTGAGGTTCTAAAAGCATCTTCGGGCGTGGCGTCGTCGTCGTTGTCGTTAGTGTAGAAGTCTAGCCGTCCAGATAACAAAAGTTGTGTGCGTGTGTATGTATTTGCTGTTCTTCACATTTTTTCCGTGAGGCATTCGCTGGATGGATAAAGTTCTGTTAGATATCATCGTCTGGTATCGTCTGGGAGCCGTGGTTTTGGGCGGTCGTCCCGTTTCGGTTGACTGTACCATGATACCATTTTTTTTTCGCCCGCACACTGGAATCTGGAGCTTGTGAGTCCTGAGTACTTCATGATTAGGTATACACCTAAATGTTATAAAATACTGGCTAGTGGTGGGTAAGCACCTAATAGACGTGTCTAGCGACCATAGTGGCCTTGTTACACTGGTATGTCAAGTATTTTATGACAACTAGGTGGTACCTAATTACTATAGAAGGCTCAGACGGAAAGATATACAGCTTATTTTCAATTTGAAATCTCAATTATGGTTGTGTGGTGTCTCTTTACTGTGAAGGTTTGAAATGTAAAATTTATAGTTTAATGTTGTGTCACTGTTAGTTGTAAGTGGATGAGCTCTTATGTCTCTCTAATTTTCAAGTATGCATTTCAAGGCCACGATGATATGATGGTATTATCGAAAGTTAGGGGTTTACTAGAGTTTTCGATTTTTTCGTTATTTTCACCATGTCACCGCTACTGCAACAGCGCACATTTTTGTGATAACTACCCCACATATTATTTTTTAGGTAGTTCTGCATGTTACAATAGCAACAGTGAACACCAAAACTCCGTTGCAACAGTCTGTTTGGTTTCGCGCCAGCTGGTGATTGCGGTATAGATAAGATGGTTGACCCAGAGATTTTCGATGACATCGAATTGCTGTTGGCTTGTGTCTAATCGTACGGCTCAACTCCACATGAGTACCACGGTTGCTCGACAACTCTGTTGTAGCACGCATCGGCTCAGTATATAACAACCGCTGCCTGCCTTATTTTCTTCGACAACTTCTTCTCACATCACATCCATTACTTGCATCATGACTGCTGTCGCCAACAAAGCTCAGCCCTTCCGGTTCTTAGATCTTCCAGGGGAGCTGCGTAACAAAGTATACAAGTCGTTGTTATGCTCATACGAAGCCGCGCCAGATCGCACTGAAGATAATCATCCTATGTACTGGGATACTGTGCAGAATTACACCTATGCGTCCCATAGCAACGACACAGCCATCCTCCGAGTCAAAAGCCAAGTGCATCGCGAGGCTTATGATGTCATGGTGAAGACTAATCGGTTCGTCTCGGTTGTAATTGAAAGCCCCGCGCCAATAAACTCCATGCTTCGAGGTGCATGCATTCCGCTCGTCGCGAGAGGAGAAAGTGTGACTAGTTTCCCAGGGTATGTAAGAATCTTCATGACTGCCTTAGAAACCCTTCTAACAGTGTCAACTTAGCCGCGTTCTTCATGTCGCTATTCAGACAACAGTCATATTCACCTTTTTCGGACCTCCCGACCGTCCCGAATCCATCGCAGCAATAATACTCGCTCGCGATCTCCCACTGTTATGCCGTGGTATATCAAAGCTCCAGGACCAAATCTCACGAGAAGCATCAAAGTTCTGGGACCTGAAAGTTCTGGAGATGCAGTTCATCATGGCACCTGTCCTTCTTTCCCCGCGACCGCGGTACCGGGACGACCTAACTTCCTTCTTCTGTGAAGCTACGCAAAGAGCTATATTGGGCCCATTTATCCCCCTCTGGGGCGTTCATCACGTAGATGTTTGTGGACATGTCTTACCTGAGGTCGGAGCAAAACTCAAAAATCTCCTTGAAGCAGCTCGCTGGCAAGATCCAAAAATCATGGCAATGGATACAGTTCAGGCCCTGGTGTTGGGGGTGAGGCATGGCAAAAGGAATATCATGGTAGCTTTTACCATCTGGACTAAAGCTTACTCCGCAATCAGGCGTATGAGAGCGGGATCCTGGTGGACTAAGCTCTTAGATCTCGGCGGTAGGATTTTCATCAAAAAGGTCGCATGGTTGCAAATGTGGCTGTGTCTCAGCGTGGTAAAAGTGGGGAACGCTTTGTGGGGAGACACCTCCAGACACTATGACATACCGTGGCGTATTCAGCACGCTCGGGGTTCGGCGATCCGTATGGCATGGACCATGGCAGCTTCGTCCATCATTCCTGGGTACTGGAAAGAGGATTACACATACCCATTATCGGATACGTTCAATGTGCATATCCAGTATGAACTAGCAATGTGCATCAAGCTTTGGGGGAAACCAAAAAGAGCTATGGAAGCTGTCATGGCCATGAAAGATGCTTGGGATATGGATCCGGATGATCCAACTCTTCGAGAGGCGTATGAGGAAATGGTAGATTGGCAAAAATCTCTGCATAGGTAGTTTGCTGGAGGTGAGGATACTTACCACCAACAGCTTTCTTGGAAACTGAGCTGGATGGCAAATTGGAGGATACAGAGCGATATGTGGCAGAACGCTGGGGGCGGTAGAGCCGATTACGATTATTTTCAAGCTCCTACGATGAAGTTTTCCGTACTACAAAATATAGTCGACAAAAGATGGGCTTCCGCCAGCTCAAAGGGATCTACGATGGCGTGTCTAGCCGATTACATATAGTGACGGCTACAGGGATAGATATACTTGCAATAAATACCACTTCAGAATACTTCGTCAATCATCACGCTACCTCCATCACTGCCACATTGATAACCCAGAAGACAGTGTAGCACAACTGACAGTATGTTATGAATAGATACTTGAGGTTCAGAGGACTGCGCAGTCTGTACTGATCTATGTTTGCAGGAAGAAAGCGGTCGCTCGGGACTATGGTCTGCTTAGGTATGTTGGCTACCAATCCGCTGACTACTATTCGTAAACGCGGTATTGGAAGCCTCGATGAGATAGAATACGAGGGTTTATGTGGCGACGACGGAATTGAGACCAGGCAGGCGGAGAGGATTATCGCGTAAGGTTCGGGTTGAATAAGTGTTCGAGGTATATTTTCGATGGGAGCAAAAAGCTGAAGGCGCCTAGGACATACTATAGTGTTACAGTTGATTATGTGGTGACAAAGCTCTGCCTTGATGACGACTGGACCTTTTACGACTGTCACTTACTGCCTTGTGAAGCTATGCCAGTGCAGCATTGATGCCATTAATGTCCCTTGATTCACCTTACCCTCTTTAGTATCTCTGCGCTCTAGAGACGTCTGTTGTGGAAACATGAACGAGACGAGCGCGGTTGCTGCGATATGAACAAGAGAAACTGCACTCTGGGACAGTCTTGTGTGCAGACTCGGAATGGACGTCATCGCTGTGACCGTTTCGCAGCGTAGTTTAGGGGGCTCGGCTAGTCGAGAGATGGCAACGCTGCACCCATGAAAGATACTGTTTAGCTGGTCCTGAATTTCATTGAAAAATCTTGCGCAAACAAGATCTCGTTGTCGGATACAATGATGTTATCAGAGAGAACTGGGTCTCAACGTTCCTACCCGCAGCCTGTCGGAGGATAGCACCAAGCGCGACTTGGCTTTTTACCGAACCTTTACCGTTGCTTTTTGCATTACCGGTTGCTAAACCCACTCTAACACGGAAATTTAAGGCCCGTGTGACATGAACAGACACCAAGCGCGCGCAATGGCAATGCAAAAGGCTCCACACATTTTGTTGACAGCCGAACGACGACACGCATGTAAACAATTTCCCGTGCAGCATCGGTTCGGTGGGGGTTGGGCGGTCAGTGAAACTATCGGTTTGTTCTAAATGAAACAATTGCGCAGCTTGCCGCGGCGGTTGCACGGGATGGTCCTTGTAGAAAGATTCGACTAGATCCAATGAGCGAACCGATGGTGGCAATCCGTCGACTTGTCTAGATTGAGGCATACGCGGTTCGGGCTGGTTGAAGGATGATGAATGTCTCCGAAGTGGGTTTTTTCCATCCGCGCACAGGTTTTGTGCCTGGTACTTGGGTTAAGGTATTGCCAGGGCAGGTATAATAGGGAATTATCATGCCTACATGGGCAGTGCAACTCGGGATGTGGATCACGGACAAGGCAACCGCAGTCGACAGTGAAATGCCGCAAACCCCACGACAAACGTTTTCCCGTAGTTTCGTAAACCAAAACACCGTTCCCAGACGCTTACATCTGTCATGCTCGTGGTGGAACCGCGCGCTGCTGTCGACCCACTGTCAAGGAGAGGTATGAAACAATCAGAGTCGGAAGCAACTGGAGGAAAATTGTGGCGTGAACGTTGGATTTTCAGGTGCAGGATTCATGATGCAGAACGACAAGATGAGAACAGATGCAGTGGACCACCATGCCGAGTACCGAGCCCACCTTGATGCCGTCGATTGATGGAGAAATGGTGGCATGAGGGAGGATGTGCACTTCCAGCGGGTGCGTTCCTGAGTCTAAGCGAACTGGTACTAGCGTTTCTCGGCCCCTAGCCCCCGACAGGATGTGAGTTCTGTGCATCAGCCTTGCTCACCATAGTATGTAGTCTTACTATCAAAATACACAGATAGACCGTAAGTGTCAGCTCACCGTGTTGGAACAGAAGCATATTACCTAACGGTGCCTCCCATACTTGCGATCATGACGTCTTTTCGCTTTAACGATTCATCTCCTCTTCCCCTGGTGTTTCGACTTTTTGAACAATGCCTGCGTCGATCAGGAACTCCTACCGCGAACAGTATCGTTTACCGCCTGGACAAAACGCCCAACCGTGAAACGCATGACAAGCGATACCCGGTGAACAGCGAAGACCCCCGCTCCACCGACCTGAACCAGCCAACTGACGGCAGTCATTCCTTTTGCGTCAGGTCCACTCCTCTCATTTGACATGTGCTATTGGGGAGTGACATGGGAGTATCTGGGTATAAGTACGGCTTGCAACCCGCAAAGGTACAACTCCTCACCCACACAGTCATTCAGTCAATCGACACTCGCTCTCTTCACATTCGTTCTTCTTTCTACGCTTGAAGCGCCTCACATTCTTTATCCGTCTTCGTTGATTTCGAAGTACACAACCCCTTGAACACCACCCTTTTTATCAACCAAACTTTTCAACAACTTTACCAATCCAACAATGCCTTCCAAGATTCAAGCCGCTGCTCTCCTTGGCGCCCTCGCCGCTTCCGTCAACGCCCACGGTCGTCTTGCTGCCATCAAGGTTGCCGGTGAGGACTTCACCTCCTACGACCCTTCCTTCCAGTACCAGAAGCCTGCCCCGGAGGTCATTGAATGGTCCTGCCCCGAGTGCCTTGACAATGGTTTCGTGTCTCCTGACATGTACACCGACGCCAGCCAGATTGCCTGCCACAAGGACGCCACTGCCGGCGCAAAGGTAGCAAAGGTGGCTGCAGGAGGCAAGATCGACATTTCCTGGACCACCTGGCCCGAGTCCCACGTCGGACCCGTCATCGACTACATGGCCAAGGTGCCCGATGCGACTGCCGCAAAGGCCGGTGACCTCGAGTTCTTCAAGATCGCTGCTGCCGGTTTCGACGGCGGCAAGTGGGCTGCTACCAAGCTCATTGCCAACAACAACACCTGGTCCGTCACTGTCCCCGAGAGCATCGCTCCCGGCCAGTACGTCCTCCGCCACGAAATCATCGCCCTTCACTCTGCTGGCGATGTCAACGGCGCGCAAAATTACCCCAAGTGCATCAACCTTGAGGTCACTGGCTCCGGTACCGCCACCCCCAAGGGCACCCCAGCCAACAAGCTCTACACTCCCACCGACCCCGGCATCAAGGTCAGCGTCTACGGTGACAACTCAAAGTACCAGATGCCCGGTCCCGCCCTTTTCTCCGGTGCGGGTGGTGCCGGCTCTGGCGCTGGCTCTGAGACTCCTTCCGGCTCAAACTCGTCGGCTCCTGCTGCTACCACCAGCGCCGCTGCCGTCGCCGTTTCTTCCAGCGCCGCCGCTTCTCCCACTCCTGTCGCTGACTCTCCTTCCGGCGGCGACGCACCTGCTCAGACTGGTAGCCCCAGCAGCGGCGGTGCGCTTCCCAAGGAGTTCACCATTGACACCTTCATCTCTTGGCTCGAGGAGAAGGCTGGCGGCAAGAGCAGCCAGAAGGTTCGCCGTCACCCCCGCGCTTTCCGCAACTAGACGTCTAGCTGTTTAGTTGATGGAAAGATGAGACGCAGTAAAAGCGTCTGTATGCATGATTGTTGTAAAGTTTAGTGGTAGTGTGTTCTTCATTTCTTGTACCTATATTGCATCTGAGTTTCCTCTTATAGGCTCATTTGCTTTCTTTCGACTGAATGACATGTGTTGTACACATTACTTGTTATTTCCTGACATGCCTGTGAGTGTGATGTGAGCGATGTTGGTGTTTGACATGGTGGATACCCTTACAACTAGTTTTCGTAATCAGTCCCCACCAACCCTCGCTTGACTCACCAAGGCACATTCTTTTCTGCTCTTGCCTGTTGCCGGTCGCTCTGGCTCTTCGCATCCTAGAATATAATTTATCTAATTCCAGAATTTTTCATCGAATAACATCCTCCGAATTAGTCCATCGGCTAGGATATCTCGCTTTCATACTTGGATCCGAGAAGAGCCGGGTTCGATTCCCGGATTCGGAATTCTTCTTTTTGCCTTTTTCGCGACTAAAAATATGTAAATTCTCTTTTTTGCTGCCGTCTCGTGATGTGAGGCGAGAAGCTCGCCTTAGATTATTCCAAACCATACATCTGCACCCTAAACCAACAGACCTTACCTGTATAAACAAGCACTTAATCACATCATCGCCAGATACCACCCCATGCTCTGTTTGCTTCAGCTTTATTCGCTCATCTCGTTCAAGTAGGCAGCACGCATGGTGAGTCCAGCAGGTAGTCAGTAGTATCCCACAGCAAGATTACTCAATCACAGAAAGTGAGAGCTTGGCGACTGCAATACCCTAACATTGCATTATGTGATTTATGCTACAGTTACTGTCAGCTGTAGCGATCAGAACGACGACGTGCGACAGCAAACTACAAACCCCCCATCTCAAGACGTAATTGCAAGGAAAAGGGCACCATAGGAAAACTATCATGAAAGAAATTACGTCTCCCTCAACGACGAAAAAAGACACATGATACCCAGATCCAAACACATTGCATTTGCATTTACCCGTTTGAACTGACTGACGATATAAAAGAAGAGGCTCCGACGCCATACAAAAAAGCCCATGGTCCCGATACCGTACATGAACTAATCCCCAGAGAAAAGGCAATAAAACTGCTTAGTCATACATCTTTCATCATCAGAAAATCCGAGTCTCATGATGAGTACCGCCATGTCTCCGCTCCGTGGACACCAGACGGTGCAGGCTGCAGCGGCGGTAGCACAGGATTTTTCTCTCCACCCTCCTTTCCGTCATCGCTAATCGGGCTGGGTGTAGGTCGCTGCGGCTCTTTGGGTGGGGGCCCAGGCGGTGTTTGCGACGGGGACGCTTGCATGCTTCGTGGCAAATCATACGACATGCTCGAGCGGGGGCCAGATAGCGGATAGCGAGGTTGAGGCGCATGTGGAGCCGCCGAAGTAGCCAGTTGCTTGAGCATTTGCTCCCACTTTGGCGCTTCTGGGGTTTGCGTCGTGCGAGCCATTTCGCGCTGAAAGGCATCCGGCGTTTGGAACTGCGCTGCTGGCCTTGGTGCAGGCGGCCCCGCTGGCCTTGGTCCATAGTATCCAGACGTAACCCCACTAGGCGCAATGGGCCGCGGCGCAATCGCAGTAGGTGTAGTACTAGCTCTCGGCACCGGCGGCTTGGGCATCCATTCAGGTGCGATTCCACCATCCAGTCTATAGGGTGATATGTAAGTTTGTGTCCTCCGTAGATAACAGTTTCTGAGGTAGGGGTAGTTCATAATGTAGGACAAGTATTCAGTGGGGGATTGGGCAGCGTAAATCAGATTAGCAGAGGGTGTTACGGCGTACATTGGAGGTTTGGGAGGCCCAGTAGGGTTGCTCGACATGCTTGAGATCGACGTGCGACCGTTTGGCGCCTGGTTCTGGCGACCTGGGGGCCCATAAGGCGAGGCCGCGCTTGATCCTGGGGTTGGTGAGTAGGGTGATGCTGGCACCTGGCGAGGGCTCTGACCATAGGGATATGGCGGTAGAGTGGCGTTCGACGGCTGCGCATACTTGTCGATTCCACTCAGCAAGGGCCCAGATGTTGCTGGCTGTGCCTTCCAGGATGCAGTGGAATAACTCTGCGGCGGTACATAGGGATGGCACTGAAATTGTTGCGGCTGAGGCTGCGGTGTCCGTTGAGAATGATAGCCATGATACTGTTGTCCATACGGTCCAGCTGGCATCCGATGGTCATAACTGACATTGGGTTGATGAGCTACAGGTGAATTGGGGTTCTTCCGGGTGTCAGGATTATACACAGGCGACCGAAATGACGTTATCACCGTATCCTTTGGCTTATAAGTGTACGGTCGGCCATCTGACAGTTGTATCGTGGTCCGCGAAGGCACCGCGATAGGCGCAGGTTTGATGGGGTATGTAGCCGGATACGAAGCACGGTGGAATGTCGGCACGGGAGGGGGTGGTGGCTTGACGGTATCTAAAAAGTTACTCTTGGGATTGTTCCTCTGCTTGGCGGGATCCTCAGTGTACTGTGGCCTGGCCTCGGTCGAAGGTTTCCCGAGATAGTACCACAGGCGATCTTCCTTTGCAAGGTCGACCTTGGCCATCTTTTGAACGACGTCAGGAGCAGTGTACCACTCAGCCCACTTCTGCACTGAGTTGGGATCATGGAAAGGATCACCCATTTCCGGTACGCCGTCTGTGCGATTGGTAATGTCAAGCGATGCATCCGTCTCCTTGAGGTGCTCTGGTAGTGGTTTAGCGTTGGCAGATGGCTTGGGTCGCTGTGATTCGTCGGGATGAAGCTTGAGAATGTACTTCCACTCTACCTCAACGCGGTCACCGTCAGGTAGAACGTCAACAAGGACAGCCTGTTCACCAGGTCTATTCTCGACGACCTGTGCACCATAAATTTGGTACATCTCACCACCCACATATTGGAATTGGATAACATCCTTCGGCTTCAGCGTTTTGCCGTAAGCCAAAACATACTTGTCCTTTTCCAGTGCTTCCACATCGACAGTCTTATTGTTTCTCTTCTTGGGTCGGTGGAAGCGGCATCGGAAGTCGTAGCCATCGTAAAAGTACTCTGTACCCTCCTCGTCGAATGTTGGCATGGGGCCGAGATCGACCTGTACACCAGCCGCAACAGCACACGTGGCGTGGAAAGCCCTTGTGCACTTCTTTTGTGAACACTGGAAAACAGCTCCGCGCTTTGACCGACAGTAGTTGCACTTGAGCTCCAGACGGTCTTTGCCAATGTTGGCCACGTTGCACACCGTTTCGACATCAGCCTTGCTGACGATATAAGTCTCTGGGGTGTAGTCGGCGCAGATCCTGTGAGCCTTCATGCCGTTATCGGTCGGCAGCAAATCGTCGTACTCCACATCGTTAGGGCAAAGAATGCACGGCATACCCCGACCCGGAATTCTGATGCGGATGCGAATGCGCTTGAGCTTCTTCGGCCGAGGAGTCTCTTTTGGATCTTCCTTGCCGCGCTTTCTCTTCGCAGCTGGTTTACGCGCCCTTGGTTTAGCCTTGCCAACAACACTGGCTGGCGGGCTGGGTAGACGGTCCGCACCATCATCTTCATCTTCCTCATCATCAGTCTCCTCGTAGTACTCTGGCGTGGGTTCGCCTCTCAATTTACGCTCAATCTCGTTGACATCAACCCATACACTGTCAGACTCGCAGAGACACTTCTTCGCAATCCTGCCGTAGCTCAACCACGATTCATTCGCAAAATTGACCGACTCTGCGCAGTTGTAGCCAATATTGTACCCCGAATGATAACCGTAAGGGTATGTGATGACGAATTCGCCCTCGTAGTGGACCAGCCGGTTGACCTTGATATTAAAGTCTCTCTCCAGTCGCTGGGGAGAAATCAGGTAGGTCTTATGACGGAGGAACTGGGAGCAGTGCTTGGCGTCATTCGGCCAAATGGTCTTCATCGCAGCTTCGAAGCGGCGAGCATCTTCCTGAGATATGCTGTACCACTGTTTGGGAGCACCAAAGTGGATATAGTTGATGCTGTAAAGATCCACATCTTCCAAGTGCCAAGCAAACGTAGCTTTCCACATACCCAGGTAGAGGTAAGCTGTGTTGACACCGGGGACTTTGGTGCCAAGAACGTCGAGAAGATTAGGTAGCTTGGCTACATTCCATGAAGTCGTCCGCTCGTCGAAAAGGGAGCCTGGCATGTCGGCACCATACATGGGCTGGCCATAGTTGATGGTCTTCCAGTAGTTGTCCTCTAGCTCTTTGCATCTCTCGACGGTATACTCCTCCAAGCCGGGTAGACGGTAGTCAAAATCCTCAAACGCAGCCTCATCAATGTGATCTGCCACTGCGCCCCTGTTGTTCAGTCGTCGTGACGATACAGACTTCTTCTCGTCAACAGTCTTAGGCTGACGACCGCGTGATCTGACAGGTGTCGCGTCTCGCGGTTCTTTCTTGGCTCTCCTGGTTGAAGTCTTCTTCTCTTCCTTGCCAGGCGATGTGGGTGTGGGAGGCACGTCGATGGAGCCATCCTCGTCGTCGTCCTCTTCAACCTCCTTCTTCACCTGTCGCCTCCGAGACTGGCGGCCAGATCGTCTAGAAGCAGGCGAAGCTTCGTCGTTTGCAGGGGCAGCTTGCGCGCGTGTAGAACGAGTGCGAGATGGTGCCTCTGCAGCAGCTTTCCGGCGCTCACCTCGCTTGGCTGGTGGCTGATGATGCGGCTCATCCGTCACTGCGCGCCACTCGGGTAGGTTGTATGATCGCAGCTTCTCGATGTTGGCTTGCGTGTATATGCCGTGCTGCCCGACAAACTCTTGTGTAATGGGATTCTTGACTTTGATGCTCTTGACGGCTTCGGTGAGGTCGGGGAGGGTTTCGCGCCTGTACTAGATAAGTCGCAGGTCGATAAGAATAAACAATCCACTTACCATTCTGGCGGCGGAATAACCTTGACGATACCAGACTTCATACCATACTTGTCAATCTTGTCGATGAAGCGCTTGAAGTTGTGAAATTGTTCCATAGTCTACAGAAGACAGTCAGTATTACTTTGACTCATCTCAGTCATAACAACAGGCTCGCGCAAGTTGGTCAAGTTGGCGAGTCTCTGGCGCAATTGGCGACGTACAGGCTTGAAGACGGGTATCTTTCCTCCTTCGAAGTAGTGATCGGGTTCAATGTCCTCGCCATCATCGCTGTCAATATCGGATAATTCGGACGACATTCTCTCAAATCGCTTATCGTTGTCTTCGCTCGTGGGCGGCGTCAGGGCCGCTTTCGTGGTGGAATCATCGTGTGTGGCGGCTGGAGCCTCGACGGAAGGAACGACATCGATAGGCGCCTCCATAGTGAAAGCGTTGTGTCGATCGGTTCGTGGTTGTCTCACTTGGCCGGCGGAGCGTGGTTGGCGACTGGCAGTTGCGGTTCGGGAGTCGATGGGGCAACCATACGTCGCTTTTCCGCCACAGTGGGCGCGCGCGGGTAGATTTGGCGCTGTAGCAAAACTATGTGTAGCGCACAAAGTTTTCCGAGCTTATGGTCTGGTCAAAAAACACCAGCGCAGGTTTGGGGGGTGGGTAGGTCGCTGGATGATGCGACTTGCGCGCAGGCGAGGGTGCAGTGAGGTTCGGTCTCATGGGCCTGTGCGCTCAGGCTAGTACTAGCGGATTCGTCCCTTCCAAGGTTGTCTGATACCAAATCGAACGATAATCGAACGAGCCCCTGCAAAGACTTGCCAAGTAGGTGAATGACTGCACTTGATGGATTGTTTGCGATGCAGTTGTCTTGAATCCGCTTATTGGGATAGTGAATTGTCCGTCAGCATCCGCCAGACACGCTGGATCTTGTGTACCCCTAACTAGCATGCACGTCATGCAAGGCCACATGTGATTGTCTGATCTTATCAGATCTATGAATTGACCACCACAGCGAATCCTAGTCGCATGCCTATTCAATTTCACTCTAGCATAGTATTTGTCATCTCGATAGCATCGTGTGGAAAACAAAACTGCGTTTTCCTATACTAACACGTTGGGCAAGACGTGGTCGTGAACATCCAATCCATCACCAAGTGAGATCAATAATGCGAAACACAAAATCCAGGTTCCTGAATCTGTGGGGTTAAGCTTTTCTGACTGGCGGCTGTCTAAACGGGCTGCCGTGACCCGCTAGTTCGTGCACCATCACGCCGCCATGTGGAGGGCATAAGCCTCACCACAACACCACGGCAGCACAGTCATGTGGAACGACCAGCACCATACCATAGCCTTGCAACTTCACATACGTCCTTTCCCAGCGTCGCGCACCCGTGCTGCATCTATAGCCCGTCACTGTTGTCCCGGTATGACTCGTCATCAGACAGAAGCTGTCACTTTCGATTTGAACAGTATACTGTCAGCAGGCTAGGCTGCCTTCTCTGACTTCTAAACTTCATGGATAGACTAGATGAACTGGGAGAGATGATGCATCAAAGATACCATCGACTCGGCATCGGGGATGACGACAACCAACTCACCCCCGTCACCACTCTAAACGAGCCGCGGACGTCACCAGCTTGTCGCTTGAGTCAGTCAACCAAGTAAGCTTTCATCGGCACGTTGAAATGCATCCAGCTCTTACACGCAGCAAATCACACGACATACAAGGCGTGTCAGTGACAACCTTTTATTGACAACCAAAGAGAATGACTGCACAGAAATGACAAGCAAACGGCCATCACACAAGAGCCAAGTGTCAAGGAAATAGACTGTTGTACAAGCCATGTTTTTAGTTCCAGATCATGCCCCCAGAATATAGTACAATGTCCCATACCCGAGAAAAGTAGATCCGATGCACCGATGCTATGCTACCAAACACATTAGGCTATATGTTAGGCCTGCCATCTCTTCATTATAATTCTGCTCAGATGCTACAAACAGAGTCTTCATGGTCACTCTTGCGACCACTTCTACTCAAATGTGCAAGTCGTTTTGCAGGAAAAGCCAGTCATTTACGATGACTCGCCGCGAGGGGGACCACGGTACCCACCACGTTGGCCTCGGAATTCACCGCGACCACGTCCACGACCGCCACGGTACTCACCCCGAGGACCACCTCGGCCCCTACCCCGGTATCCGCCACGATCACCACCTGAGTGACCTCGTCCTCGTCCGCCGCGGTTGTGGGTGACCTCTGAGAAGCCATCGTTGCCGGGTGCGGGTGCCGCAGGAGCTGCGCTTGGGTCGGGGGTGTCGTCAGCCCAGCTTTGAGTGCTAGTTACGGCGGCAGCTACGTGTGGTGTCTCGGTCTCGGCGGGGTCCCTTGGGATCATCTCAAAGGACTCAGTCAGTGGGTCGTCGCCTCCAGTAGCAGGCTTGTCCCACTGAGCCTCTGCAGCAGCATTTGCGCCTGCTCCGATGCTAGAAGCTGCTGGTGCGGCCGATGCGTCCTCTGTGGTCCCGTTGACAGGCTTTGCTCCAGCATCAATCTCAGTGAGTCCTGCGTTGGCAATGGTCAGGTCAGAAACAGCCTCGGTCTCGGGAGGAGCAGCTTGCGACTGAGCAACATCGTCTACCCAAGCTTCCTCAGCCGCGAAGGGAGCCTCGTCAAGGGCGGCCTGCTTGAGCTGAGAATAGCTAACACTGAGCACCACACCCTCGGTGGATGGTACGCCATCCTCGGCACCCTCGATCAGCTTTTCCGCTGCCATGACAGCGCCGGCGTCACCTCCATACACCTGAAGAAGAGCGCCTTCGAAAGCCTTGGTGAGATCCGAGTCGTCATCTCCTAGTTGGCGACGCGCAGCAGCCGCCCTCAAGAAGCGCGACAGTGTCAACAGCTTCTCCTTGACAATCTTCTGTTGCTCCAGCGCTGCCTCCGCCTTGAATGTCTGCCTTAGTGTCTCTAGCTCACCAGAGTGTGCCTTGGAAAGAACCTCCTTCTCTCGCGCAAACTTGGCCTCGAGCTCGTCGCCGTACTTCTTGTAGTTTGAATATTGCTCCTCGTACTGCGCGAGCTGAGCCTGGAGACCCGGTTTCCTCTCTGCTTGAGCTTTCTGGTCCGCGTTGATCTTGCGAGATGCGAGGAGATCGTCGAGAGAGACACCGGGGTTTGCTGCGATTATCGAATCAACCTTTTGTGTTGCGCTCTATAAAAGACATGTTAGCAAAGGTACAGAAGAATGAGTGAGGCTACTAGCTTACCAGCTTCTTGTTGATGTTGCGGATGTTCCTGCGCCAATGTCAGTCAATGAGTCCCCAACAACAAGGCTATGGGACTGCAATGTGGAGGTTGCGACTCACTTCTGGACGTCGCGAAGGTACGAGTTGTCGCTGTCGGTTCCATTGGCCTTGCTTCCTGCCTCAGAGCCGCCGGCGCCAGCATCGGAAGACGCCTGCTCGCGCGCAGCTGGTACTGCGGTAGCTCCTTCCTGTTTGCCCTTCTTCTTGCGGGCGCTCTTGGACTCCCCTGCCACCAATTGGTGCAGCTTGTTGACTACTTCCGTCATTGTTGTAATCAATGTTATATGTGATGAGAATTTGTGTGAGTTCGACACGTAAGTCGCGTGATTGATGGTCAGGTCAAAATTCGGATTCTGTCTTGTGCTTTCTCAAAGCTGATGGGGACATGGTCGCCTGCCCTCAACGTAGCTGCGAAATTAGCGTGGGCACTAGCGCCTCAAGGGCCATGACGCGCCCCTCCAGCTGCGGGCAGCAACCCAAACACGACACAAGTGTGAGAGAGTGCTATGGATCAGGCATTCATCACAACACCACCCCTTTACCTTTACTCGTCTACCCAATTCTTTTAGTTTCTATATGCAGATGCTTGGCGATGTTTGTTATAGCAAACCTTGAAGTCTTTATAATGTCAGCACTCGTACAAGCGGGGTAATGACTTCAGCATTGAGGCAACACGAGAATGTTTAGCGACACTTTCGGAGAGTACCGTCGGAGACTTAGACCTGATCCTACTGGTCGCCTTTGTCCAAATCCCACATCTCATCACTTCTCTCCCATGACATATGCCTTTCCAAAGCTCTCTTAGCCCTAACTTCAACAGCCTCTGTTACCATCTGCTCCCTTTCTTTTTCCGATGACGCCTTCTCCAGCTCTACCTCTAGCATTTCAAATCGTAAAGCAATAGACATATTTGCCTCAATAACCGACGAAGGGGCGCTGATTGTACCCTTTATTTCAAGCCAGCCATCTTCGCAGAGACTAGTATCTGTAAAGGACTGCGTCCGTGGGGATGGTGTGTGCGGAGTGGTATGTGGTGGTTTTATGTCGCGGGGTATTTTTTGCGTGGAGGATGATTGTCTATAGCTACCCTTGGGTCGTCGCGGTCTGCTATGCGATATAGGACTAATCGCAAAAGCAGAAGCACTGGCTTGTGTGATATCGTCGTCCATGTTAAAGTATCGGCTCCTGTTTTGCTCCTCTTGTTTCTTTGCTGTCACTGAAGGTCGCCATGAAAATAGAGTATCGCAGTCGCCTGTTGAGGAGCCAGACCTCCCATCTTTGCTATCTCCAGAGGCGGAGGCCGGTACCTGTTCGGAGAATCCAGACGACATGTGCTCGATATAGTCATCCAAATGGTGGTGTAATACAGGAACGAAGAGTAGGATGTAGTAAATTATCTATTTGTACTTTGAATGGTGACACGGAATCCCATGGTGGAATGATCTCGTATCCTATCGAAACAGCAAGTGCATTAGTGACGTGTCTCTATGTTGTGGCGGACAACGCATGCTTCAAATAAAGCGCGATCAAAACAAGAATCTTACCTGCTCCCAGTCGCGCTGCGTTGTACGCTTCGTTCGACGGTACAGGGAGGGGTATAACTCCCATACGGTCGCTCAAGATCATGTGAAATCGTACACCACTAATGCCTGGCTACCTTCGCTCTTCTGGCGAAGAACAATCACATTTTGCTCGTCAAACCCAACCCATCCATGGCTCACCGATTCGTCGTCGAATCCCTGCTCTAGCGCAAACCGTAGCCCGACCCGGCTTCCCGATTCGTCGTCTTGAGCATCCTCATCTCCAAACTTGGATGGTTGCACGCGAACACTTAGGTCTCCATTTCTTGATCGCTTACGGTTTGCTGATGAATTCATACCACCTTCCAAGTCCCAAACACGGAGCTCGTTTCCTAGTCTGCTCACTGACACCGCTTTACCACGCATACCGACATGAGCGCCAGATATTGAAGAGGTATGACCCCAGAGTCGATTACCAGAGCCTATCGAAAGTGCTGACGAAGTTGACCGGACCAAGTATAACGCGAGCGTGTTGTCTGGATGTGCGACTAATAAGTACGGATGTGAGTATGACATTGAAGTAGGCTTCGAATTGCTTGAAACGCTCGGTACTGAATGCTCCCTTGCACTTCCTGGTGAAGGTGATGCCGGACGAACGGACGACGATGCTAAGCGGCATGCAGATAAGGTGAATGAGTGTTCGTCTGCAGCTGTAGCCAGGCGTGATTCAAGGAGCTCCCCTTCGTGCGAAAGCCTCAGCTCTTGTACACCGACAGTCCATCCAGAAAGGTACGTCGGCAGTGAATACGCAATAGCGGCAGTCATACTTGCGGCGGTTGTCCGTAGAGACAAGGACACAGGTGGCCACGCAGTATGTGATCGTAGGGAGTATAGGAGTTTGGGGGCTTTCAAAATGCCCCGAGCATCCGGTCGGCCTTCGAAAGCATACAAGGATAATAGGTGATCCTCAGTCATAGTAAGGAGGTAAGGAGATGAGTATGCAAGCGCTGATAGCATTCCATTCGTGGAAGGCGGGTGCGTGAATAGACTCTTAAACCTAGTGTGGTTGTTTGTTAGGGAGTATATCGAGAAAGACCCATCTTCAAATCCTATTACGACTCGTTCAGTGCTTTTTTCTCCCTCTGATGCATCTATAGCCATAGATATTGGTAGTCGAGGTGTTTCTGCTTCACCCCAAAGTCCTGTAGATGCCAATAGCTCACGGCCATTCTTTGAACTCCATGCTCGGAGGCCTGATATTGAGTCTGCAGCATACACTATGCGGTTCGACATTATCACCAGAAGTGGCGGATCTGGCGGCCGTTCAGCAACGACGATCTCGCTGACGGCGCATTGGCCTTGGGTCCAATTATGCCGTAGCCGATATTGTTGCTTCCAATTTGTTTGCGACCCATCCTTGACTAGATAACTGTCTTCCAGCCATTTCGATAGCCTCGACGAGTAGTGTAGCCGGTTAGGGTTGGTGAGGTCTCGAATGCCCGGTATACGAGAGGCTCTTGGGAGCACGAATGCGCGGTAGTAGGCAGCTTTCCAGAGTTCCGAGTCGACTGAGAGGCGGCTGAGCTTCTTTGATACCCTGCATGAGTCAGCGCATGTCGCAATAACTGAGTGAACATATGTACATACCTCTGACATCTTAGGAGCGAGGATACTGGAACGAAGGATAGAATGCGCACAAGCAGCTCCTCGCTCAATCTTGATATCCTGTCGGGTTTCGTAAGTCGCTGTGTCTTTGCTGGACGCTCGCCGCCATCGTCATCCTCGTGCGCCCGCTTCATGGCAGGAAAGCGCTATCGGCGGCGAAGTCGCACTTGCCTCGGAATGTTCGGTGTTGCCTGGCCTTATCGTTATCGCTAGACGTAATTATGTCCGTGCGTTGACGTCGACGCGTGACTGCGCGTTCAGCTTTCTTGGCGTGTTTCCTCGACGTTGCCGCCTAGCACTAGGCAACGACAGCCTTCAGACTTTTGTCTGATCAACTCTCACGACTACACGTCTGCATTTCATGTCACTCTCTCTATACATGAAATGGCGGATTTTACAGCCTGGGTAGAGCAGAACAAAGCGCTCTGGACGCGTGTATACAATGAGGTCATACATCCCGATCTTGAGAAAGAGTGGAAGAAGAGTATGTCTTCCGTGTCCGCAGCGCATAACATCGCTGATGACCAGCTAGGAGAAGAGAGACACAAGGAGGAGCTTAAGCAAAGTGCGTCATGTCAGACGCTTGGCGCGATTAATACTAATGATCTGCAGAGGAAGAGCAAACCCAGGTTCTATTCAATCATCTACAGGGCGAGCTGGTGAAATCGGCACGTCTTTCGACTGAAAACGAACGACTCAAGGAACAACTTGAGAGCCAAGTTCAGCCCACTGTTTCCGGGGTAGACCTGCGCCGCCTATTTGAAGAGAACGAACGGTTGAAGCAGCATCTTGCGACAAATCATGATGATCTTGCCGAGAAGATTAGTGGGCTGAGCAAGAAGTATCAGGATGCCTCTCAGAAAGTCAAGTATCTGGAGAGGAAGAATGCTGCAGTAATGCAAAAGAACAAAGATATGAAGGAAAGCGTACGTGCATGGCAAGAGTACGCAGACCGACAATCAGGAAGCCATAAATCCAAAAATGAGGCCAAAGCCGAAGACGCAATGCCACGAATCTCGGCCGGTCATCTGATGCCCGACGATCGACCCCATGTGCCCTCTAGTCCGGTTTCCGCGGCTACCGTGAGGACACCGCGCTCTCTTGCGGACGTAGAACGCTCTTCTCCTGCACCTATGGTGCCACTTCCAGGTCCATTAGGCGCTGTGGATCTGTTGATAGCTCCAAATGTAGTTGATAGTGGAGAACGTAGCACGAGCGCAGCTACCACTCCTAAGGCAGCGGCTCTATTACAGGGTAATGAGCCACAACAATATCGCCCTGAGCCTGCCACGGCTAATCCGAGTTCGAGTCAGACAACAGTGGATGAGCATGTTGAATTGACGAACAGATATGAACCAGTCGTGGATGCTGAAGAGGAAGATATCCCTGAATTCGTTTCCGAGCGGTCCTTAAAACGAAAGCGACGGCCGTCAAAGTCCAGATTTGAGATATACGCAGATCGCTCATCAG